CATATTTGCATTCCATGAATGCAAGCGTACAAAAAAAAATCCTTGGAGGTGTTATGGGATTTTTCTGTAACGAAAGCACGTGGTTTTTGAGTTCGTTCACGTACTAGAGAAGTTTTGATATTTAATTTTCTAGTTTTCCTTTTTAAAAGTCCTCCATTTGCCTTACACGTTTAAAAAGCTGTCAGTCTTGTACAAACTTTTATTGTCCCCATATCACTGAGGCGAACTTATACTTTGTTTAAGGGATAACTTGTTATTAAATCAAATGCTACTACATCAAGATAGCCTTTGTAATAGAATTCTTCATTAACTCTGAAAAATGTAAGTCAAACAAATAGCAAATTTTATCACAATACTACATCTACAGCTGTTTTGCGTGATGATCATCGATAAAGTCTCGAGGCCCATGACAAGGAAAGAACCCAAATCAAAACCGATGCACGCGAGCTTTGCATGTAGAATAAAAGGGGAATACAGTGCTCTCTCTACATATTTAGAGGACTGAATAGGTTCATGGTATGTTGAGTTCGTTATCACTGTTGAAATGTTACTTGATATAATTTGGTCAGGGTATTGTTCGATCTATAACTATACTGCAAAAAGAAATAGAAGAGAATCGAGTTATAGCGTGTCCATTACGAACAAAAGGATAGGTTATTTTTCGATCTGTGAACTTAATTGTTTCCGAGATGTTTTTTCATGATTCAGTTCGATTTCTAACCAGGGCGGATCAATGATTTCCAGTTTGCAGGGTGGGAGAGATGGGGTAAAACTTTAAATGACAAGGGGAAACCAAGAGCGAATCCAGGAGTTTTTTTTCAGGGGTAGGGGGTGATCTCCTTATCCACTCAAAAAAAATTCGAAAGTATAGTGTCCAGACACGAAAATTCTATCTCGTTAAGGTGAACGGGGGGAGGGGGGTTGCACATCTACTTTCCTTCAACTTTTTAACACTTTACTAAGTATTAACTTAACTCTGCAAACTCACAATATCTGAGTTTGATACGTTGTTTTTATCAAAACTCTCTACAATCAGATTCAGATTTTTTTGATCTGCATATATTATGTATTATCATGAACAGGTTAATCTGCCAGAATGTTTGATAAAGTTCTGAACAGAGAAAGTCGTTCATTCTCTGCAACAAACAACGATTTATCCCCCATAATAAAACATCTATATCTAGAATATGAACATTTAGGTATATCGATGACGTTTGATCAATTAACAATATTCATTTTTATTCAGACTTTATACGAAATACCGATTTGAACTCGAAATAAAAGACACCACAGAGTCTTCAAATTGATTCAATACGCAAGAGCATGAACTATGCACCAACAATTTCTAAAACGAAGCAAGCTATTAACAAATAAGTTGAAGATATAAGGATATATCAACTGTCTCGTTTAAAGTCAACTTGCCAATTCTACGATCGAAACAATTACTTCGTTACCCTATCGTTTAGTCGACTGTTGACTAATGTTTTTCATACAAAGTAAGCCATTATTTTCACATTAAATTGTCCACGGATTTTCCGTTTACCTGATCACGACAAGGAACACACGGCGGGTGTAACCGGTCTATACAGAATATCTACTCCTCAATGGCACCTGATCCCACCTTTGATATTTTTAGAGGTCGATCCATGTTTGCTCTGCTCAAAATTTGTATTGATTCAACAGAATTTTGAGGTTGATTAATGTTTGTTTATTTTCAGATTTTATTTTATCAAATCAAAAGCTTTTCAGAGTCTTTTCTGTTTTTCACATTACTTTGGACAAATAAAAAGTACCCAATAAAAGTTTTACTGATCACAGAGAGCTTGGAATTATATTGTATCTACATAGATCATTACTTTAAAAGTACACAATTATGTGTAAGTCTGGTGTGCAGAACGTTCATCGTCTGTCACCGTAATTAAAATATAATGGAGGAATAGACTTTTGAATACTATAATTTTAGTTTTAAAATGTGCGTTTCTAATTTCAAGTGGCAACAGATTCCATTCATTAACTACAGTAGGAACAAATGTTGATATAAGTTTGCAATCTACATTTTGGAATATCGTCATATATTCATAATGTCTTGTAGAAAACCAAATGTATTGCAGCGCATATTAGGAAGAATGTCACACAGATAATCTGGTACTAAATTATTATGTATCTTGTACACTATTGTTAATCTAGCTACTGAGTAGTCCCCATATCCCTTTTCAAAGCATCGTCGGATATCCACGGGTGATCTCGTCTTTAACTTATCATCCGTGGGTATCCGATGATGGCTTCAAAGTAGAATGAATCTTGAGAAGCCATTAACTCTATTCTTGCAGCATATAGTTGAAGTTTTCCATGCAGCTTTTCATTACCACTATACTCAGGCAACATCCTCGTCCCACAGAGGCATGTACATGTATATTCAAGATGTGATCTTATGAGTTTTATCTTCTTTTTTTCAAAAAGGTCAATTTTTTGTTGGCATTATCCAGTAAACTTTCAATATACAGTGACCATCTAGCATCATGTGAATGCTCAAACACAAATTCTAACTGATATTGTTGGAAGAGGAGCTAAGGATATTCAGTGTTCTTCTATGTTCTAAGTAATTGCTTTAATTATAGAAGGGTTGGATTTTTAATTACCAATTTTAGACCAATTTCCCAGTGCATTAAGATCTTTCCGTTCCTTTCAATAATTTTCGTATTTTTAAATGCTGCAAAGAATTGTCATCAGAAAATAGCCTACTTAAAGTTATCATATTGTTATCAATATCATTCACAAAAATTAAAACAAAAGTGGTCCTAAAACTGACCCTTTCGGAACACCAGTATGTGATAACAATTTTAAGTTTCGATGAAAAACTCTTTGATATCTATATTCTCGAAAACTCTCAAGCATCTTATATAAATTTCAATTAATGTCCCATATTTAAAGTTTAAAAAAGATTCCTGTATGCCAAAAACTATCAAATGCTAGCTTTTGGAAAATCACAAAATACCCGGTATCATGCAGCAAAATTTTCCGTCATCAATAGCTTTAACGTCGTCGTCGTACCACCCCGAATTACGTGTTAGAATGATCTTTATACATACAGCTACATAGTCTAACGTTACATAGTCTGTGCACTGAGCAGAAGAATTGTACTAGTAAGATGTATTATGTCTATATTCTAATATTATGAGTTTGAGAGAGATTAATTACAAGACTTACGTACAGCTGCTTATTCCAAGATGACGGCTCGCTCAGAAAATTACGTCAGTTTACTATTACGACGTCATTTAGCTTAGACCCTCTCTGCGTAATCTATGCTCGAGTAAGTTTTTGATCATAAACCACACAAACTTAGCCATTAGACTATCTATGCAGGCGCGGATCCAGGATTTTTTCGGGGGGGGGGGGGGGGTCCATCTCAGTCGAAAAAAAATTTCCAACCCAGAAAATTTCCCGACATTTACAATACATTAACTTCCAGTGCCCGTGTATCGATGCATCTTCCGCACAACTAGAGGAGTCGCTTATTATATTCATTTGTGCGCAATCGACCCCCCCCCCCCAAAAAAAAAAAAAAACTGAAAAAGAGATCGAGTCCATGGTAATTTACATTACTCTCTCTCTCTCTCTCAAACAATTAAATTTTATTCATGAAATTGATGGACTCTTCAAATTTAAAGAATGAGTTTTATGTTGTTTCCCTGTCGTAGAAGAAATCATTATGACCGATTACCCAGTGTTGTGGTATGGCATTAAATTGGTCACGTACATACCAAGAGGGAATTGTTGACAAACAATGATAAATCGCTTGTTTCCCTAATGTATTTAAATTTGTGTCATTTGATTCTGTTTAAAAGTTATAATTATCCATTCGGGAATATGTACATGTATACTGAGTGCATTATAGAGGTACGTATTCATTCCAAGAACACAATTTATCATGAGTATTGAAAGTATAATAATTGTTCAATATCTTTCATTGCGTTTGATGCCATATCAGCATCTATTTTTATGCCTAAGACTGATTGGTCTTTAACAATCTTAAAAAGTTTAATCAAATACATGTCATACCCGGGTAACCCCTATCATTGATCTTAACCCTTAACTTTTTGACACTAAAATCCTCGGCAAAGGCTAAACTACCACTACCTAAGACATTGACTTTTTGATGCTAGAATAAGTACAATTTTTTTTTTTTGTAGAAATTATAAGTATTTTTTCTGTCCACAAAGCACCCCTGTAGCAAGAAAGGACAAATTGTTAACAATGCAATTCACTTCTGTCTCTGCCTTTGGCCTTCTCAGTCGACTGTTAGTATAATGTATGTTATGATCTTGAGATGTCATGACCTTTAAACAAGGTCATATTTCAAGGTCAAGAAAATAACTTAACTATGAAACATTGAAACTTTGTCAAAAATTGTGTTTAGTGTTCAAGTGCTAACAATTAATTGGATACCTGTAAAACATGTGTACAGCAAGTTAGTGAATATCTGTTTGTAATAAGGATATATATTGGTATAACAAAATCAGGATCAGATTCACTGTTTACTGTATTTGACAAATAAGTGTTCAAAATACTACAGTTCAACTGTAATTTGTTTTTAATTTTCAGTCAAATACAGAAAAAACTTGAAAAGTTTTCACTCTTTACGGGAAAAAAATTAGAGTATCTTGAACAATTCAAAAGATATATCATGACATCAGTAGAGAACATGGCCATTTGGCAACATTATGATTTAAGTATACTTAATTGAGAGCACGTTGTATACATGTATTAGTGAAAACAATCAATCTGAGAATAAATATATATGCAAGATTCATTCCTAATTTGTAATGCCCAGTGAGAATTGTAAATCTCTATGGGACAAATGTCCAATATATACACATATCAGTAGCCCTTTATACAAAAAAAAAAATAATCTTATGACTAACACATAAATTTTCCCATTATCCAACAAAAATCTAAGCTGTTGTAGGTTACAAAAAATTTCATGTTTCTTTACATTAAATAATATTATAAATGATGTTTTAGGAGAGAAAAAATAAATATCTTTATTAAACAAAAGGTTTACAAAGTTGTCAAATTTTCATCTTAGTCCTAAGATTTTTGTGAAAAGGGCCACAGTAACTCATGTCACAATAAAGTTTGTTACAGAAGTAACATCAACAATTCTACATAAAAATCCATATTCCTCATCTTATTATTTATAATCCTTTAAAAATTCATTCAGAGGATCAAAAATGAAAGGGCAGCTTCTGTGACACAAATATTCCAGGAAAAAATTAAGGAATTCATGCAATGGTAATTTAGACAATAAACATTGATACAAAGTACAGTAAATTAATACAAAGTGAACAACTTTTTTTTCTTCTAATTCTTACAATTTTTGAATCTCCTTTTTCTATTCATTTCATCAATTTTGTCATTCTTTTCTAACAGATAAGCATTGTAATCCCATTCCTGTGGTAAATTAATGTCTACTATTTCAGCTGGACCTACATTTTGGTTTGTTAATTCATTCTCATAAATATCTAAACTGCTTTCGGCTTGCAAAAAGAAATCTGCTTTATAAGACAGCATATCATCTGTCAAACCAGTACATAAAAATTTGTAATTGACAGCTAGCCATGAAACTAAAATGGCCTCCATAGAAAACCTGTTTTTGTGTAATTCTGAATACAATGGTATAAGTGAACTCTCTAGAAAGACATCATGCTCTGAATCATAGAACATTATCAGCAGTACATTATCTCCGATGCCTATACAAGGGACGAGAAAATGGGACCATTCAGGATGGTTTTTCTTCTGAAGAAATGAAAACACAATTGTTTCTGCAACCAGTTGTGAATTTCTTGTAACAGCATTACTCTTCATCTTAACTGATATTCCCTCTGGACAAACTGGTTCCTCTTCCAAATTCTCAATCACAATATCACTCCCTATTATAACGTCTATGCTGCCATGCCAAACCTGTGGGTTTCCTGAAAAAAGAAGACCACAGACATTTAAAGTTTAATAACTTGTGCTAACTGCCGAATTGTAAATGGAACTGGAGTCCATCTTTTCAAATGGCAGAACAGTGGCCAATTCTTTACAGATACAATTTATTTAATTGACAATTAGTCTAAGAGATATTACAGCAAAGGATCTGTAAAAAGTGTCACTTAAAATTCATTCCCCATAAAAAATGGTTTAATTCAGAGTATTATTAACTATGCAAGTGGGAAAAAATTGTCTCAAAAAAACCACCCAGTAACAGTCAGGTTAATATTTTTACATAGAAAAAGTTTAAAGGAACAAAGTAATACTTTTATTCAAACATTGCCGAAGGAAGTTATCAAGTTTGTTGTGAAATTTGTAATGTATTAAGTCCTAAAATTTATTTCAAAATTAAGCAAGTTATATCTAAAACAAAAATCATTTTCACTGGTGAGAAACACTTTATGCATGTTGTTAATGTTCATCTTGATTGACAGAAATGAGAGAGTTTTCCATTGGAACAAGTAAGGGAGGTAACTTTTACATGCTATAGAACACGGTTGTCTAGAATATGCAAGTTTGGTTAAAACTAACCTATTAGTCCTGAAGATTGGCAAAGTTAAACAAATTTTTAAGCAAGACAAAAAAATTCAGCCAAAAAAAAGATCACAGATTGTGACCCCAGAAATTAAATGTTTACCATCTATAAAGAAATGATCAATTTTGGTCACAAAAGCTTAATTGAGAATCTGGGTAAAGGGATCTTAAATAAAGGTAAAGATATCTTTTATTCCAAATACAAGATAGCATATCAATATGTCCATAGAGATATCTTGTCGTAAAACTTTGTCAATCATTCTGTGTTAAACATTGGGACATAAAATATAATACATGTATTGCAAACATATTTTTTAACGTAAACAGTATCAATAAAATTTTTTATGTAAACATACCTATACTTGTATCCCCATACTTTCCTGTCAACATACAACTTTCATCTGAGCAACTGCATTTATTGCCTCTCTGTCTGGTTTCATTACTTTTGTCTATGGTGTAGTATGGTGATACGGCCAACTTTCCAAACAAATGATTAGCCAGAAAAACTGTCCTGTCAGCTTTATTTTCATATTCCACATCAACCACCTCCTCTGCATAAAAAAAAAGATATACCATGTTAAATTTATCTGTTGGATGCATTCTTTTTAGTAATAAATTTACAGCTGATTGAATATTGTTTTGATCCACCAGGGCTGAATGTTTAGGTAAGCTTTTCTGATCTATAGGCCTACATGCTGTATATTCACATCTGTTTGTCTGTAAACTTTTCAAATTTTCAATTAATTCTCAGAACTCAGAACCAACTCAATCAAATTTGCCACAAAGCACCCTTGGGTGAAGAGAATTCAAGTTTGTTCGAATGAAGGGCCACCTCCTCTTGAAAGGGGACATAATCAACAGAAAGCAAATATAGGGTGGGTGTCTTAAAAAAATCCTCTTCTCAAGAACTACAGGGGCAAAGAAGATGAAACTTACAACAAAGCTTCCTGACTATTTTGTAAAATTCATATTTGTTAAAATCATAGCCGATTTGGGGGGGGGGGGGGGGGATAAAGCTGGGCCATGATTAGTCATAAATATGCATCCTCAGGTACTATCATTACCAGGAGACAATGGAGACAGATAGGGCATGTGCTTAGGAGACAGCCTCTCAGCCAGTCACAAGAACAGCACTCCAATGGACTCAGGACTCCAGATAAAAAGAGTGGAGGACCAAGAACAATTAATGTGGAAATGAACAGTGGAGAACAAGATATGAACCATGCAGCACTTTTGGGGATCACTGACGAGGCTGGCCCAAGACAGGTGGAGATAGAAAGACTTTGTTGGTGCCTTAGACATGGCAAATAATGATGATACTCAGGTATAGTTTACAAATCATGGTCCTGGGTTAGGGTGGGGCCACAATAGGGGATCAAAGTTGTACATGAGATTATATAAGGGAAAAATAAATGCAATAATATCATAAAATTCACCCCAAAACATATAAAATATTCCTTAATATACATAAATTTACCTTATACTTTACCTGATTTCAAGAAGTTAGTAAGTTTTTCAATTAACATCTTTTCTTGCTTTGCCTCTGGAATTTTTCCATCTAGGAAATCGACTCCAACGTCTAGCCCTTTTCTAAATATATTCCCCATAAAGAAGCCTTTGTCAAAGCTTTGTAAATTGCAAAATGCTTCAGAAAAACGCATTCCTGCTCCATTGATGAGTCCTGCATTACAAGAGTTTAGTTTACAAGGTATTAGCTTAATGTTATCAACAGCCCGAGCTGAACAAAGTTTATGTAAAGCTGCTGATAACAAGTCAGCCTCATAATCCGACAAATTGTCTACTGACAGAGGTTGCTGATGAGAGTTTGCATTTATCTTCGCACGTTTGGTTGTTGACGCCATTTTCCTTTACGACAAGTGCTAAATTTATCGGTTATATATGGATCGAGTTCGTTGTAAAAACGGAGAGTTTTTCTATATTCTTAGCTCACCTGGCCGGTTATTGATTTTGATGAATTTTTTTTTTGTTGTTCAATCAGGATAAATTCAATTTACTTCACAAATTTGATATGGATGCACGTTTTTGTTTTTGTTTTTGTTTTTTTTTTACCGGGGGGGGGGGGGTGAAATTAAACTCCTCTTAGATACTGTAGGGCAGAGTATTTGTCAATCAATATCTCCAAAATAAGGTAAGAAAGCTAATGACATAACTGCTGTGATATATGTGGGACATACTTTATTAGAAATATACAAAATATGAAAAAAATTGAATGACAAGTATTTTTTTCAGCTCAAGGTCCTTCTCCTCCTTAAGCTAATGTTTGTTGGCCATCTCTCTGACTGAGGGTGAAAAAAAAGCATTGGATCGGTAAAGGTAGGTTGAAAAAAAAATTCCCGGGATATTTCAACATCAATGCTGAATTTTCAAGATCTTTTTTTCCTGAATATATAAGAAATAAATGCCATTTTTGCCAGTCGGTCGGGAGAGGGCAACCAAGCATTTTTTTAAAGATGGCCTAAGCTTGTCCGACACATTAATTGGTCAGAAGTGATAAACTGTTTCCTTTTTTTACTTTGACCTTCACAATGACCTTTGACTTTACTATTTTTTGTGTACTTAACCCAGTTTTAAAGAAACTATTCAAGGTATTTTCATCAAACTTCATACACGAATACAAATTTTCTGAAAGGATGACTGCACTTAACGCCTGTTTTTGGGTCTTTTTCGGTTGCTTCTGTTGCTTTTATATCTAAACCTTATTTTACTTTTGTATGTTTATGAAAGAATCCTGTCAATTTGGAACCAAATTTAAATCTTGAAATGATTTTAGACTGTGATACAATAAAATGATTCAATGTTTTTTGTCCTTAGTGCTTTCCAAATATAGTGAATTTACACTTACCTGCCCTTGATTGAACATTAGATATGCATGAGAGGTGGGGCTAACATTGTAAATATGGGTAAAAGATTAGACGTGATCAATAACAATGACATGTTTGAAAAAAAAAAAGAACGTGATCACTCTTTCCAATCTCCCTCTCCATTCTGTATGGCACAAATACACTTCTGACAAAGGTTTCAAAACGAAACTAACAATATGAGCACGTCAATATATGTAATTGAAACAGATTGTTTATCAATGCCAGATGACTTAACGTGTTCGAACACAATGTCCTAGTTAGCACAAAACATGCTACCTTACAAGTCACGTGACGGAATTTAGTATATTCACAAAGTTAACTGAGGTAGGACATCACGTGGTGACATGCCAAGAAAAGGTACGCATTCTAGTTTTAGAGCGAACTCAATGAAAGCGGAATTAGCGTTAATCTGTGATTTTTCCCCAGGGAGATGTGTGCGAGGCAATTAATGTCAGCAGTTTTGAGGGAAGGATCTTAAGTTTTACTGGTTTGAAATTAAAGCTAGAATACTTACTATTTAGAAGCCTTTGCACCTTTTTTCCTGTTGTTTTTTTTTAAAAGGGGGGGGGGGGCGATTTTCCATGCAAATCATATGCAGTTAAAAAAGTTAAAAAAAAAAAGAAGAAGAAAAAGTGAAATCAATTGTAGTGAACTAATTAATTGTTCAGTAAAAATTAGACGCCTTTCAAATTTTTCAGTGTTTATATATCAAAACATTTTTTTCCTAGTATAAATTAACATCGGGCACGATGAACTTGGTTGTTGTGGAAGTCTCGCGCCTTATTAAGGTATCATACCGGTAATTGACCAATGAAAATGAACTTAGTCAATTGTAGTTCCATACATATAAAATTATTATTTTTTCCTTTTGATTTTTTTTTAAGTTTCCTTCCAGTCTAGTTTTTACAATTTTGGTACCTGTGTCTAGTGCATTTTACATATTTTGTAAATAAATAAAGGTTTTTGACAGGAACTTTTTTTTTTCAGGGCATAGGAGGCTACTTCCTGGGGTAGAAGTTTATTTTTTCTTTGACTAAGAAAACGGAAAACTTAGGATCCACCCCCTCAAATCTGCTGCCGTTAATTGTCTCGCCAGCGTTAGGGGAATATGGGTGATTTGCATCAATTACACTTTTATTGACTCCATCGCTGTGGAAAAATGGACGGGATTTCTTGGCATGATTATAATATTCAACATGTCACAATCCTTAGTTACAACACAGAGAGCGAATGTAAGAAGAAGCAGTTTTTCTCTCTCTCCTTTTAACCATGAGCGCATGATCTCCTTTTGATACATTATTATTTATGCAAATATACAACTATTGTGAAACGGAGAACAATAGACAAACGTGCGCTGACTATGTATAAAGTCAGTAAAAAAAAAGTGGGCGTCCTCATTATCGTACGGAGATTCAAGAAATTGTGATGACCCCTGCCTTTGAAAACAGATTCGAACTTCGTAAATACACACTTTTATCAGTTTGTTTATTATATAAACGAAACTACACAAAGTTGTAGATTGGATGTTGATCATTCTTGCAATGAAAAGAAAAATGCTTGTTTTGATATAGTTTATTTTGTCGCAAATTTCGCATGTCCTTAAGCAGTTAAGTGCAGTCATCCTTTCCAAGGGGTTTGGTCCAGACCCCACCCCTTTGATCCGCACATGGCACTCATTGCTTGTTATTTAATCAAGTCGGGTTCGTTCCACTCCATATTTGTAAGCGATAAATTTAACTCTTGAACCGCGCAGACACATACGGAGGTTTTCCAATGGACAGTGGTCACGCAGAGGGCCCATCTGCCAGCAAACGGCGGAGGGCGATCGATTCTTCTCCTCTGTCTTCAGATCATTTGTCAGAGTTTGATTCTGAAGACTTACTGAAAGCTTGCTTCAAGATCTGTGAGACTGTTGATCCACATTTCACATTGTCACTATACAAACTAAAAGCTTGTAATGCAGCTATTTCTTACAGGGGAGTACGCTTTTCTGAAGCATTCTGTGACTTAGAATCCTTTGACCAGAGTTTTCTATTAGGTGACATATTCAGAACGGGGCTTGATATGGGAATTGATTTTCTGGAGGGAAGAATTCCGGAGGCAAGACATCAAAAAATTATTTTGGAAAGACTCATCAAGTTTCTGAAAGAGGGTAAGTTTATAACGTTATATTCTTTAGGGACTGGCAAAGTCTAAGTTGAATGCCACAAAGCTCAATCTATATGTCAAACTTTTGTTGAGTTATAAAACAAATAAATAAATGTGAAAAAAGCACATTCATTACATGAACAAATGATTTATATGATCTGATCAAAAATAATCAATGGAAACTAATTCCCTGATTATATCTGAAAAAAAAAAATGAAAAACCCAATGAAACAATAAAACTGCAGTATCATATTTCATATCCTTATCCATTGAGATGAAAAACTAGAAACAGGGCCTATGATTCTTCCGCCAATTAAGTAGTCTCAGGGCCGTAGGAAGCAATTTCACTTTGAGGGGGCACAACCATACATTTTCAGTTGGTGGGCACTATGGACTACCAAAATTCCTTGACAAGCAAAAAAAAAAAAAAAGGTCATCAGACATTATTATTGAGGGGGCACAAGCATATAGCAGCTATGTTTTCTATAGTGTTCTATATATCAGCAAAATTATTGGGGGGGGGGGGCACAGCCCCCCATGCCCCCTGGATCCTACGGCCATGAGTCTATCTCTGAAGTTAATGACATTGAGAAATGATTTTAGTTTCTGTGAAGTCATTTGGATTATATATTTTAGAAATCAGTGTTCAAAAATCACGGTTTAATAATTGTAGAGAACATGATTTTTGACTTATTCTGAGATAACAGTTAAATGTTTAATCTCAAATTTGTGTTTGAAAATGAAGAGAGCAGTGCATATGTTTAAAGCAAGCATTGTTGTCCATGGGCCTCTTAGTCTTGATAGTTTTAAACTGGTATACTTCTACTAAAACTTCTCAATATATTTCTCCTCTTTTTTAGGTGAAAAGGTTAATATGGATTTCGAAAATGAAAATGACGCGACATCCATGCTGGCCAACCATCTGTTTGCAAAGTTGGCAACATGTTCAGACTATACTATTGACCAGCATTTTAAAAGGGGAGGAAATAAATGTGCTTGTGGGATTGAAAACTGTGTGCTGACCGGGGACTATGGAGATACTAGTATAGGTAAAAAAAAAAAATGGAACATTGCCAATACATGTGACAGTGTATTTTTTTTCCAATATCATTGCACAAAAAAAGGTCATAATCAAACATTGATCTCTGACTATTGGCATCTTCAGAACATGTAGAAAGAACACAGAGAGCTTGTACTGCAAACAAAAGAACACACTGCTAATAAAGGAAAACCCTGATATATTGATGCAATCCATATGAAAATTATGCCCTTTCTTTATATCTGGTCATTTATTATTTTTTTACATCGATCAAATCAGTGTTTTCCCTTTATTTCAAAGTAAAGGGTTAGAGATAAATTGTAACAGGCTTTGGTCTAAGGTTTATGAAGAAATCTCTGTAGACCTTACAACGATTACTGTTTAGATTTTGATTTCTAAGTGGCATTTATATCATCTTAAGTGATCAATTTGCCTGGGATCTGGTTCTTAGGGAAAACACTGCAAACAATAAGACTAGTTTTTGGTGATTTCAGTTTGGTTGTATAACAGTGTATGAAGGTTTGCAGGTTTTAAGATCTATAGTATTCTTTTTTTTCAATACAGGTAACCCCCATGTATGGCATGGTAATGTGGACATTATAATCAAAAGTGACATTATTATACAGAACTTGGAGGATAAACAAGATGAAATGTGCAAAAAATCACCAGCAGAGGTTAAATCTAAAAATAATCCACTGAGTGTGAATGCAAAGCTGGTTGCAGAAACTATCGTATTCTCATTTCTGCAGAAGAAAAGACACCCAGAGTTGTCTAACTTTCTCATTCCCTGTGTAGGCATTTCAGATAATGCCATAATTTTGATGTTCTATGATTCGGAGCATGATGTTCTTCTAGAGAGTTCCCCAGTGCCACTTTATTTAGAATCGGAAAGCAGGTTTTCTGTTGAGGCCGTCTTCATAGCATGGCTAGCTGTAAATTACAGATTTCTGTGCACGGGTTTAACAGAAGACATGCTCCAATACAAAGCAGGTTTCTTTGCGCAAGCTGAGACAAAAATAAATGTGTATAAAAATGATCTGAAAATGCCAATTGTAGGTGTAACTCCATCCAAAGAAAGGGTACAAAAACAGTTGAGTTTTAGTGAATACATTTCAATAAAACAAAACAAGATTATTGAACTAAGAAGGAAGGGATTGAGACCGAAGGAAGAAAACTAGTATGAAGTACAAGTTGGTGCCCTCATTAAATCAAACTTGCTTGCCCATGTTCAATACAATTCACAAAAGTGCTGTTAGATTACACCCAATTCAAATGATATTTTCAAAAGGTAGACAGCATTATTGTACAGTTCTTTCTATGTACAGATGCAAAGCCCCTACATTGTTCAAATTCTAAAAGTTTTCTAATCAATTTAACATTGTTTATACTTTAAAAGTCTTGAACTTGTCAAAAAATGTTACAATTATTGTTCCTTTTGTTCATCAATAATAAACAAACTGTATAAAATCAGATTATTTCTGTACACATTTTAAATGTATATACAAGATCAAAAACCAATAAAACATATGCAATGGCTTAGTAAAGCCTTTATTATGTCTGTAAACTTAACTTATTGGTTATTATACCTGTTCCAAAATTTTGGGAGATGATAACTCAAATGCAGGTCACCATTACTTATGTTTGAAAATTATGTGCATTAATAAGGGCCCCGCAAGGATTTGTAGGTGCCCTTTAATAATCACTCTGTCCGTCCGTCTGTCATTCTTCCGTCCAAAAATTTTCTGTTTTTTTCTATTAACTTTTTTTATAGTTGACCAATTAAGTTCAAATTTGGTATGTTGGTTGAAAAGGCAGTAAGACATATTTTGATGCTAAGTTTGGTTCTCTGTGTCTCCTGGTTTGGAGCTGGGGTGGTGGGGTAGATTCTTTATATAAGAATGAATGGAGAGGTAACTGCTGAGAATGTTCCTATAAGAATGAATGGGCAAAGATAGATAACTGATGTGAATGTTCCTGTTGTAAACTCTGAAAGCTGCAATGAGTCCCGTGGGATTAATTAACCTTTCTCTTGAAGAAAATCTAAAGCAGTATCTTTATCTGTCACAATGAGATTAATTAACACCTCTGTCTGCAATTGAAGTTTGTTTTGAAGTAAAGGTCAACTCTGAATGATATTTACATTCTCTGAAACGTGGATTTAAATTATGTTTACACTTTATTTTGGTAAAATGGTAAAATACACAATGAGTTGTGATTTTATTGAATTCTAAAAACAAGGTAAAGATAAAGATATCGTTATTATTTTTTTGTTTATTTATTTTTTGCGGCCTTTTCAAGAATACTATTAATTTTAACAGATAGTTGGATAATAACCTCATTCTATCGTTGCTGAAAAAGTTCTTATTGTAAACTTAGAAGAAAATGATGAGAGAACAGTACAATTTATCCCCTGGGATTAATTATCTTGCCGGCTGCAGAAAATTTTAGAGGCTTGTCTTTATCATTTTAAGATTAATAAACTCTTATCTTTAAAGTCAATATTTGCAGAATTGAAAAAAAGTTCATATGATTTATGGAGTTCAGTATAATGCCCTTTTGTGAGTATATTCCAAATTTCCTACTTCAACATACATCATTGTAAATTTTTAGCTTGAAGATTAAAAAGTGTCCAAAAATTCGATAAAATTTTGCACTTATTTGACCTTTGACCTCTATTTTCACTGGTAAAGTCAGTCCTGAAGTACCAGAATAGTCATTGAATATCATCTCTAAGAAATTTCCTACAAAATGATATGCATTATGCTTAGCTTTCTCTTTGGATAAAAAAAACATTAATTTATTAAGATACATGTAGGTCAAAGAGTCTCCAAAATCGCTTTAAATGTGCCGGTAAAGAAAGGGTTGAGGGAAAAAAATGTTTAGAAACTTGTTTCGTTTAAAAATTACAAAAACAACGAATTTTGGGCATGTTTGTCATAAATCCTTGTCTATTCATGAACTAAAATTTCTGACATTATCGTAAACTCTTTTGAATAACTTGCAAAACATTAATTATTAATCATCGTAAACAACTCTTGATTATTTAGAAAAATACAAAGAAATATACATGTATTTTGTACCAATAATAAACACTCAACAACACTTAATTTCATTCATAGCACTTTAATTTCGGCTTATAAAATAAAAAAAAAAACATATATACTTCATAGTTGATCCTCCTTTGATATATACAATGTATGCTTATAGCGTTGAAAGCTTCTTCGTCTGCCATGCACAGTAACGCATATTTTAAGGTGTTTTCTTTCTTTTAACCTAGCTCACTGAACACTTCTGAAAAAGAAACATCGTATAGTGTTACCGCTTTTAGAACTCTTTAAAGCATACTACATTGAAACACACTAGAAAAACATTGACATTATTTTTACCTTTTTTCTACCCGTTTCCTCGTCCTCCTCATATTCCCATTTGGCTACTCTTTCCCCACAGGTCCACAAATAACCGTCATCATCAATGCAAAGGCTGCAATTAAAGTAAGAGCCTTTCTCCCAGGTTGAAATAACTGACAGAAAAAAGCCATTCTGGTCAAGCACGTGTATGTTGTGTTCTGACGCATTAATAACCAAGATCCATCCATTGCTATCAGTACATATTCCAAGTGGCATAAAACCTGATCCTCCCGCACGGCCAACGTACGAAAACCGGCAATCGTCATCATTCCTCATCCCAACGACGGAACCAAATGGGTTATCGAAGCATGACATGCAAATATCGCCATTGATATTTACTATTAAGTATCTGATAAAGGTATGGAATCCACTTTTGTTGGTCATTTTGCAAAGCCTTTTCCCTTTCTTGTCATATCGTATGATGACATCTTTTTCCTCGTCCTTTGAGGCAACGATGATATGTTTAGTTCGGGGACACGAGTAGATGCAGATTGGTGCGGAAATGAACGAAGTGATAAGAGTTTTGGTAGGTAAATACTATCAGAATTTTCTGTCAAACAATTTATTTTTTCATTTAAATATCTTAAACAACTCTTGAGCCAACAAAAAAACCCATATTACACATACCTTTGCACGCTTATTTTCATACTATGTGCTATAGAGCACATATACCCCCAACTTCAACAGCCAAATTCTAACACAAGGATGTATAATTTCATATTTTATTCAAATATGCACCAAAGCACACTGTATTGTGCTATAATTCATTAAATCTAATAGATAATTAACTACAAAGAGAATTTTTCGAGATATTCAATTGAAAACATGCACATTTAACATTTATACTGCTCAAATCCATCAGAAAAAAAATCACAAAATATCATTATTTTCAAAAGTCCCAAAATTTATATTGTTAACATGCCATTTTTTCTTTAAAAATATCTAAAATTATATCTAAGGTTAACAAAAAAACATATTTTATCATAGTAGACCAGAGATATTTTATTAAATCATATCTCGAATACCCCTACCCCCACTTTGGTAATAGCATGTTTTACAGTTATATTTTACACACTGTGAAAAATATCAAAATGTAACAAACAAATACAGTCTTAGAATGAAATACAAATGGAATATTAAAAAATACTGAAATTTTGGTCCTTCTAGACACTTAGAACATAAGGGGTAGGGTGATGGTGGGTGGGGGGGGGGGCAACCCCTTCCTTTTTTCACAATTTTTTTTTACATACAAGTACACATTCTTAACAATTTATAATCTAATACATATAAAGAGAATAAATGTAGTGTAACAAACATACATGTAGATTCTAGCAAGTATAGCTCATAAACAAATAATTTTGTTGAATGAAAATACTTATGATGTGAACTAACAAGAGTTCAAATACTCCACAACTTTGCCAATGATCTTCTGAGACTTCGTAATTCTTGGTGTCTTTGAACCAGACACAACCTCACTAAAGACAGTCTGAATCCCACAATGGGGGTCACGCTTATGTATGAGTTTTAGCTTGTTTAAGCTTAGATTGTTAGCTGTAAGCCTTTTAGAGATCAGTGTAGAAATTACTTTGCTTTGTATCAATGGAACTAGTGAGGACTTGACATTATAATAATTCATATTAAATATATCTGAAGATTCACATTTGAATGCTAAATTTGACTCGTACAGTTCTCGTAAACTACAAACATCAGCTAGAGCATTGTGTGCATCGTAACTTTTCCCTAAACACAATCTGACCAATGTTTCTTGTTTAAAATTTCCCATTGTTTTCTTGTCAAACACTTTCTGTGCAAGTTTGTATGTATCCAAAAAACCTAAAACATATTCATCAAATCGTTTAAGTAGACCATGTCGCTGCAAGTGATATTGAAGAATTGGAAGATCAAAGTTTTGAATATTATGGCCCACAATGACTGGTTTTGAAGCACAATCTGTTGTAAAGTCTACAAACTGGGTCAAACCACTGACTTGATCTGTTGAAGGCACAGGCTCTCCATAAAGAGTGAGCTGTCCCATGTCATATCTGAGACCTGTTGCAGCCGATGCTTCTTTACAGATTGGTACACTGGGGTTGAGATAAACATTGATTGACCTATCTTCACAAACTGCAGCAATCTGTATGATGTCAGATGTTCTACCTGAAAGCAAAATTATTAATTATATTTTATACCAAACTCGAAAATAAAAGAATATTTATATTTGTTAGTAGGGAAAAGGTAAACTAAAAAAAAATCTTACTAAGTCCAGTAGTTTCTAAATCAAAATACATCAAGCAGCTGCTCTCTGGAGAAATCCTAAGAGGCTCTGGATCAATGTCATCAAGATCAACATCCTCCTCAAGACCAATATCTGACTTATATGATTGACCTGTTACAAACAAAATTCAAGTAAATAATACTGAAATTCCACTAGCAATGGCTTCTCTAAAGGTGTGAAAAATACACAATAAATCAAAGTAAAACATTACATTCAATTCTGTTTTAAATGAAGCACTACCTTCTAGTACATTCCTCGCTGCTTCTTTAGACAACCTGGCAGCTTTTAATTCCAATCGACGTTTCTTTGTGGTGGGTAAACTCTGCATCAGACGCTTCCGTTTGAGCTTGTTGGCAAGTCTAATGGTATGTTTCATTGTGAAATTGCCTGGTGACAATGCCATTTTCTTGTTCAACTGTAAAATATAATTCATGTTTCAGTAAATTTTTAATTTTGTGAGTGTTCCATATTCAAATCAAATGGTTAATAAGAACAGGGATTATAGTTTTGAATGTGAATTTCTTAGTAAATCCATATCTTTATGTACTTTATGTACATGTTTATTTAGATAAACATGATTGTAAACATCTTTTTTAAAAGCTACATGTATTTATAGTTTATAATATTTATTGTGGAAAACCATTAAAATCAAAATAAACTTCTAGGACACTAAACACATGTGAACATAACTTTCTTAGGTTTGCCATAAAAAAGAAAGAAAACAAAACATAACAAACAATAAATGTAGAGAAAAACAAATTTAAAAATGATCAACTTGAAACTTTTAACACAATTTTCTACCTCTGATATGTAACCATAACCCATATTCTTTTGACATACAGTGGCTGAGAGTCTAGCATGTAGACTTTCTGAACCTCCATAAAACCTAACAACACATTTTTTTGCAATTTGAATCTCATATTTCAGACTCAATTTAAAAGATTATACCTAGAATTTTTGTTTTAAACAAAGAGAAATAAACCAAAGTACTTACAATCTTTTGGGGGCTTTAGTGGAGACCATATGGTTGAAATTCTCATTGACTTGGGTGGACCCCATCATGGCTAGCTCTTCTGCCTTACAGCAATACTTTTTGAATAGACCTTCTAAAGCTTCTCGAAGTAAGGTGCAGGAGAGAGGCTTTCCATACGGCAAATTTCGTGGTTTATAGTCAGTCTTTTTACTCTGGCACCAAGTTCCACAGTATTCGGGTTCACCTTCAAAAAAAAAAGTACCGTAGTTAAAATATTTTCACTCTTCATTCCTAATTTTGTAATGACTTTTTTATTGATTCACTTACCATATAAATGTGGAAAAATTTTGCCAAGTTCAATTTCAAGCTCTTTAGCCTTGCCCCTGTTTTGCTGTACACAATATGTAAAACATCTAAAACAAAGAAGGAAAAGATACTTCTATATAATTAGCTATCGCACTTACAATTAACAAGGTTTTTGTTGGACCACAGTTGATCAAGGGATATTTTACTGAAATATTACACTTCAAAAACACAAACCTTTCAATGTGACCTCTAAGTTTTTGATTTTTCAAAACTTTGTGAGTATTGGCAAGCTCAATCAAAGCTCCTGTGAAACCTTTTTTTGTGTGGTTTTTGTCAGCTCTTTTGTTAATGGTTGGGTCCACAGTGGCTTTTACATGGGCAATAGTTGTTGAGTCATTGTCCATGACTAAAGTTCCTATCTGTAAAATACATTGGAAATATGTACTTTAATTAAAACAGCAAAGTTTTAATATATAATGTAGTCAACTTTACAGACATATTTGGCATTGCTCTAATAAGAATCAAACATTCAATGAAAAGTTACCTTGCACCCTTCATCTTGGATTGCACTCAGCATTTCACAGGCCATGGCTGGCTCCATTGCCTTTGCCGATCCATGCCAATTCCTTCGGCAGTTGTGTTTTCTGGGTGGAACTCCTTTACCTGATGCAGCTGAGCAGATTCTGCATTTTTTACTCTTCGAAGAGAAACTTACTATCTTTTTAGTTTTTTCTCCTACTAGAGATGCATGACCTGTAACAAGATAAATACTGCTAGTACATAACTACATGTATGTGTATTAAAATATGTTACTCTATAAGAAATCTCAATCCTTCTTGAGGAGGGAGAATCAAAACATGTAACATTGTCACCAGGGCATACCAGTAAGACTATTGTATCCTCTACCAGTACCTCTCTTCTGCCAGGCACCATCAAAAGACACAGTGATGTCTCCATCACTCCTACAAAGTAATTAACACAAATGTGCAAATATTAACAAATGACATGTAAATACAAAGCAAAATTTAAATATCAATATTTGGTATATAAAATTACAGTTTCATTTCTTCTTGAAGAACTTTATTACAACTCTGCCCTGCCATTTCCTCTAGGTGTTCCCCAACCTCTCTTTCTCTGCTTTTTAGACTCCTGTTTGTGATCCCTGGGATATTCAGTGCAGCCAGTAATGCATTTACATGAGTTATTCCATAACCACCATTTAGCATACCTAAGATATCACAGAAATAAAATGAAAACAAAATAGTTCTTTCAGATGTAAACTTTTGTATAACTGGAAATAATTTATTCTTATCTGCTTATTTACAAAATAAAATTTTTGATTTATACCTGCAGCAAGTTTTGTGTTGACATCCCAAGCATATTGCTTCATATCTGCTTTAACCCTATGCTTACTGCCCGTGGGTATGTCATTAACATGGGCACAGGTGGAATGTGTGCATTTTATCTGAAGAACCTGCATTTGGTCAAAAATTAATGTAAAGGGTATACAACATCTTTAAAAACAAATCTTTGAAATACAAAGTCATTGACAATATTATAAAAAATAATAAATACCTGCCCTAGTCCAAATTTCCTTTCACCTATAGTGTTAACAAGCTGAAGTGCATTCCCACACATGGCGCAACCTCTTTTCAGATTATCTACAAGAGTGCCAAGTTCAACAATTCGTCTTCCAACACGCCATGAACTTTCTGCACTTTGACACTCAACACTTCGTAGAACAGGGGAAGAATCATTCTCCAAGCATAGGCCATCATTTTCAACATCTAATATTTACACAATAAATGATTGAATCTTTTGCTACATATTCCAACAGTCCATAGCAGAACGCTTACACAATAATTATTAATACAGACACTTACCCTGTTTACCTTTTAACGCACGGGCTTCTCTTGCTCTCCTTAGACCCTCAAGTCTCCGGAGGAACGAAGCTTTCACGAACGTTCCTTTTTTAGACCGGGGCATTCTTGTATTTTTATATAATCACACGAAATTTATGATAAATGGCCAGACTGAATGTTTTGCGCCAAAGCCGAGTCATAACCGGAAGTCTAGAGTCGGTGTATAAAATTTAAAACCGGAAGCGAAAAACTATGGCCTTTCCTGACAACCCCAATCTGAATTGGTGCCATATACATTATCAATCTTTTCCCCGTCATTATCCATGCAGACGATGACACCCAAATCTTGTTAAATCGAGCAGAAATGTGCTGTAAAAAGTTTTCAAGATACGGTATTCGGTAATTGAAACAATTTTGAAGATGTCTACTCAGGAATTGTTTTTTGATGTGTGATCTGGGTGATCTGTCATGTGCTAATTTAAAGTTATGACTCTTGTGAGCTTCAATTATGCATCTAGAACAGTCTGGCATTTCGCATTCTTGACAGACCATTTCGTTCGCGTGACCTTTATGAATGGAACAAAAGTTAGGGACTTCAACAGATTTTTCATACTTTTCTGTATACAAGTTGACAGTATGAGGATTGGGATGAATTCCTCCACATACTTGACAAAGATTTTTGAAGCAGTTTCTACAATGATACTCTGCATTTTCTCCACCGCGACATTCGGTACATTCTATAAAGTGCTGAGCGAACTGCAAGCTCCTTTTAAAGGACATCTTCAAAACAAAACAAAAGAAAGCCAGAAGAGTTTCTCAAGAATCACTAAAATATGGTTATATATCAAACTAATTTATTAAACAAAAAATGTTTGAGAAACATATATGCCTCTTATTTGACAAGTTTGAAAATGGACAAGTTTCGATTTAGATTGTCTGTTATGATAGTTAAAAACTTTTGTTATCTACTAGTCAGGGGCACACATATAATACTTTGACCTGTATCAGACCTCAATGAAATTAGGGATAAAATACTTTTTTGAGGGCACCACTGTACCAAATATGATGTTTGAATAGCAAAATATTCATGATTCTCAAGATACTGAGCTGACAATATCTTTCTATGTCTAGAATTGTTTGACCCTTGACCTTTGACCTCCTGGCTGCAAAATCAACAGGAGTCATTTTACTCTTAAGGGGGATTCAGTGTACCAAGCTTGATGTCTGTCAAGCAAAGGGCTGTCAAAATATAAAATAGACAATTTTTCAAGTTGACCCTTAATTCTCATTCTCTTTGACATTGTAACTTCAAAATCAATAGAGGTCATCTACTCCAAAGGGGGGGGGGGGGGTTACCAGAGTACCATGTTTGATGTCTGTCAAGCAAATGGTTCTTAAGATATTGAACGGACAACTCTGAGTCTTTGACTGACTCACCGAAATGTGCAAAGCCCCCTTTTTAAGGAGGCATTAAAAACACTTTTAAAACATACATGTACAATCTTCTGTATATATACAAATTTTACAGGCCGTTGGCTGTTTTCACATTTAGATATTTTCTTCCGTATAATTTATTTCAACTATTTGTAGTAAGACAACTCTATTTCATAAACCCTTTTAAAATATTTACTTTGAAATCGTCACATATTAACCGCCACAGCAATGAACTGTGGCTGATTTCAGCATAAATTTTACTTTTTCGGGCTATAAAACCAGAGACATATAAAAATCTGTCTCTGATAAAACATAAAAGAATCACATAATGCAGTGTTATCTTACCTGTTACCATTTGGAATGAAATTCAAAGTAAGATTACCTTTTTAATTCTGCAGAAATTAAAATAGCATCAAATGAGCGCAAAAATTGTTTCTAGTTCAAACCGAAAGTTCATAGACTATATACAGTCAAACCTGTTTTAAGAGGCCACTTAGGGAAGTTTGAAAAGTGACAACATGAAACAGGTGGCCTCTTATTCCAGTGTGCCCTCGAAATAGCCAATTAATCAATAAACGAACAACATTTAAAGCTATAGTTGAATTAATTAATAATCAGGAAATAAAATGCATTAATTTCCTTGTTTGTTTTTTTTTATTGTAATCAATCATTCTACGATAAAAGGGCCAATTCAGGATCTACAGCATGAAAAACAAGTTAAACTCCAAGGTCAAAGTAAAGAGATAAAAAAATATTGGTAAAATTTTAAATAGTGGGTCAAACTCCAAGGTCAAAGAAAGGGTAAAAATTAATGATACCCTGGTTAAGGACTTGTCACAAGAAATGCATATGAGAAATATCTATGCCCTAGCACAAACTGGTCAAATGTTTTGACCAAGGTTAATTTTTTTTTAAATTACCAAACCCCAAGGTAAGGGTCAAAAGGTCAAAAGTGTTGCTATCTGAATGAAGGTTTTGTCACAAGGAATACACCTTTGAAATATGAAAGCTCTAGCACTAATTGTTCAAAAGTTATAAAGACCATTGGAAATGGACGTGCTAAAATTATCATTTCATGATGTGTTGTTAAGGGGAAATTGCTGTTGCCATGGAGATAAAAAAATTGCAAAATAGCCCTTAGTTTGCAGAAAAATCTAAAAAAAAAAAAAATATTAATAATAATTTATTGTAAAATTTGTTTTAAATAATTAAAGATAAGAAGTTATGTGATTTACGACTTCAGGGTTTTACATATTTTCTCTTTTTTTCATCAAAACATCCATTTTTGTTGCTAGGCAACGGATAGGAAATTTTCAAAATTATACGCTTCTGAATTCAAATTCTAAAAGAAAAATTCCTCTGCTTTTATATTATATAAACAAGATGTCTCTATCAGGTCCATCATTTGAATAATTAGACATTGAATAATTCCAAAATCAAGGAAAATGCTGAGTCAGCAAAAAAGGAAAAACATGTATATATACCGATATCTATCATACAAATATCTTTAAATCTTATTTCTATGTTTTTTGATTGTGAAAGCACTTAAGATGTTTATCTGAAGAATAAAAGCAATAAAAAAGATATTCCTTTAGTAATTACATTTAATTTGAGCCTGAAAGATAAGATACTTTTTTGTTCATCCAAACTGAAAATTGGCTGGTTGCTAGGGAAATTTCTTCACCCATGTTTCCATGGTAACCATGAACCAAAACATTTTAATTTTACATACATGGTTCATAGTGAAAAACAAAACTATATGTGGAAAATCATCAAATTCTGAGAACCTTCATATATATATGTATCACCTACATGCCTGTACGTTTTGCATAATTTTTACACAGAACTGTACTTGAATACTTTTTTAAAAACTGGATCAAATTCTACGGCCAATGTCTAAAGGTTAAAAAGAATTTATACCCAAAGAAAGGTCTTGTCACAATAAATACACATGTGAAGTATGAAAGCCCTAGATCCAACTGTACAAAAGTTATGGTCAGGGTTAAACTTTGATATTTTTTTTGCAAAGGTGGGTCAAACTCCAAGGTCAATTCAAGAGGTCAAATATATTCAAACCCAAAGAAAAATTTTATCACAAGAAATACACATGTGAAATATAAAAGCCAAAGCTTCAACCAATCAAAAGTTATGGGCAAGGTTAAAAGTTTTTGCGGACAAACAGATTAACAGCTAGACAGACAGACAGACGCATGGACAGGGCAAAAACTATAGCCCGAATCTTTGATTATGGGGGCATAAAAGTAATGGTTCAAATGGCCAGTTGAACAACATAATTCACTACGGAACGTGTCAGTGCACTTAAGAATTAATAATTATCCACAAATCTAGTACCGTGAACTTTTTACAACAATTTAAATTTACCACTGATTTAAGGTAATGCTACGGAAGTTTTAAAAATGCTTGAACAGGCCTTGTATTTCAAATAAAGTTGGATCTGACGATTTTTATTTATTATATAAATACTGCATGTAGTTGAGTGTAACATTGAAAATTTTCACCCCAAGAAAACCATTGTCAACCGAGGCGCAGCCGAGGTTGACAATGGTTTTCGAGGGGTGAACATTTTCAATGTTACACTCAACTACATGCAGTATTTATTATATTATACTGAATGTTTTATACAAATACATATTACAGTGAACCTTGCGCGCATGAATTCTGCGCAGTCAATATTTTTTTGAATAACACCCGTCGTCAAGCAATGTTAACTGTTGCTACGCTGGTGGGCGTGGCTTCATTATTCAGCGGTTGATAGTGTTTTTTAACAAATGTTTCTCGACGAATCAGATTCAACTAATTTACATGAAAGTATAATATTTATTTTTATTATTATTATTATTTATTTATTTATTTATTTTTTTTTTTTCTGATGTTCAATATAGGACGCTAAAGTATGATTTTTGAAGTCTCGCATGTTAACATTTTTGGGAAAATATCGTTACGGAAGTTAATCGTCAAGTTAATTTTTCTCAAAAAGTTAAAATTCTGGGCAATAGAAAAATTAATAGAAAATTATGGTGTTCGGATAAGGCCATTGCAAAAGCTCAACAGCGCGTTCAGAAAAACACGCCATCGCGCTAACACACAACACGTCATCACGCTAACACAATCATACAAAACAAATCATCGCGCTAATACACAACACGCCGTCGCTCTAACACGCTTTCAAACAACACGCTTTTGCGCTAACACAACTTTACACAACACGCCGTCGCGCTGTCACACAACACGCCGTTGCGCTAACGCAACTTTACACCGCAACACCACACTGTCGCGCTGTCACACAGCTCGCTATATAACACAACTTTGTGATAGTGCGACGGCGACACTGTTGTGTGTGTTAGCGCCACGGCGTGTTTTTCTGAACGCGCTGTTGACCTTTTGCAAATGGCCCTATCCTTGACCTTGGAGTTCGACTTGCATTTGAAAAACTTCAACTTTGCCAAAAGCTATACCATATGGGGGCTTCAGCGTTTCACAAACACATCTTGTTTAAAAGAGAATTTACAATCAAATGATTGTGTGTTTTTTTTTTTTTAATTTCAATTTCAACATAAATTAATTATAGTGAAAAATATCCTTAACCTTGTGTAACAAACCTGTAGAATAAAGAACAATTACATTGGAGTGTAACAATTTTGCCTAGCTAGGTCTAGCACAAAGTTGTAGATACTAGTTTAGTGCTTTGAATTTGAATAGAAATTACGGTTTTGTAGTAGAAGTATATACCTTGAAAGGGAAAGGAAATTTCGAACAACTCACTTTATAGTGAAAAAAGACACAAGCACTCAGTGCATCTGTTTAATTTGTACCAATATGCTACATTTGTGTCATTCATTTTATAAAATGTCAATGGAACATCCGGTTCATGTTAACTTTCCATTTACCAATTTCCTGAAATTAATTGACATGATAACATGTTTAGTTCGGGGACATGAATATCTATATATATAGATGGTTGCTTTTTTTAATTTTTGCAGAATTAGAAACTGTTCCTCATGAAGAGAGAAGAAAATCAGAAACCTTTGGCTAGCGAAGATGACATGTTCTATGTTAATATTTGTTTAAATACCTAAAAAGAACAATGTGTATTTTCGTGCTCTGATCGACTAATGTATTTTTAATGCAAAACTTCACAATCCCTGAGAAAGGAAAAACAACAGATCATTTCTTGTTCGAACTAAAACCGTTTATCCTTATCTTTATATCTTTAACATTTATTGTACACAAAGTGGGACTATATATTAACTTTTAATTAACTCACCAAAGTCAGAGGCGGTAGGCAGGCCGGTAGATTCAATCGTATGTTGTTTGACGTCTTATCCGAAAATTTTTCACTCACTCAGCCGAGGGCCAATGAGGGTTCTTTATTGTGCCAACGCCTATTGTGACACGGGACCTGTGACGGTACATATTGTCGTTTCGTACATATTGTCGTCGGCGACAATATGTACCTACCCTCACGGCACAGATTGTCGTCCATCGGTACATATTGTCGCCGTCGACAATATGTACCGAGAAGAGCCTTATTTTCCTCCTGCATAATGGACGACAAAATGTACAGTCAAGCACCAGCACATATTGTCGTCGCCGACAATATGTACAGTCAAGGTCGGCATATATTGTCGTCGATATATTGTTTTGACGAATATTTACTTGAGAAAAGAAAGAGAGATGGACAAACACACACATACGCACGGAGGGAGACAGACAGCATTACTCGCAATACTTTAGGGAGAAAACTTTTTGGTCAGAAAATTGTGTCCAGGATTGATGTACTTCACCATGATATGTCAAAGATACCGTAATTCTTGAGATATCTGATAAATTAGCCTTTTTTTCTTGTACTATATACTTGGAGATTGAATACATGTATTAGTTTTTTTTTTGTTCAGTAGTAAGGATTATTTGGAAATCATTTTTTGCGTTATTCTTATATACAATCATGTGCCGATATAATTGGTGTTGGGGTTGATATTTTTAGATCACCTGAACTGGAAATTCAAGTGAGCTTTTCTGATCACATTTTGCCTGACTGTCCCTCTGTTTGTAAACTTTTCACAATTTCAGCTTCTTCTCAAGAACTACTGGGTCAATTTCAACCAATCTTGCCACAATGCATCTGTGGATAAGGGGCATTCAAGTTTGTTCAAATGAAGGACCAAGCCCTCTTTCAAGGAAAGTAGATGAGAATGTGAAAATTTAATGACATCTTTTAAAAATTTTCTCAAGAACCACTGTGTCAAAAAAGTTGAAACTTATGTGAAAGCTTCATTATGAAGTGTAGATTCAGTTTTATTCAGATCATGTCCATTGGGGGAAGGGTGTGGCTACAAAAGGTGATCAAAGTTTTTCATAGAATATTTAGAAAAAATTCTTTCAAAAATCTTTTTTTCAAGAACTACTGGGTCAAAAGAGAAGATACTTACGTGAAAGCTTCATTACATAGCGTTCAATTTGATGTACTAGGTGGCACGAAAAAGATCCCTCACTGCTCCATGACCCTGAGTGCCAAGTATAGGCACCATTCTGAAACTTCTGGATCCGCCACTGAGAAACAGCAGTAGACCTGTGATTAGTGATGTTAATATGGAAGTATCCTTAGGTAGCGCAGACTCAAGTATTTTCAGATCAAACGGGGCCTAGGGTGGGGCCACAATGGGCGATCAAAGTTTTACATAGGAATATATGGGAAAATTCTTTAAAAATTATCTTCTCAAAAACAGCAAAGCAAGATAAGTCATAATTATATGGAGCATTGCCGTGCATTGTCATGCGACATATTCATATGGACGACAATATGCGCAGTGAGGGTAGGTACACATTGCCGCCGGCGACAATATGAACAGGACGACAAAATGAACCGTCACAATCACGCTGCATGAAATAGCATACGAGACACGTCAGAGTGATTCACACACCAATTACATTCACAAAACTACCAAAAATCAACAAAAGAAATGTTTAAGCAACAATATCTGTGGGGCGACAATATGTACAGTGAGGGTGAGGCCATAATGTCGCCAGCGACAATATGTACATGTATAACTTTTCAGCCGGCGACAATATGTACCGATGGACGACAATATGTGCAGTGAGGGTAGGTACATATTGTCGCCGACGACAATATGTACAAAACGACAATATGTACCGTCACAGACCTCGATTTTTCCGTCCCATAATTTTCACTTCTTTGGTTTAACACGGCGCGGCGATAAAGAATCGAATCGAAATTCTTTCTCCTCGTTTGTTTGTATGTTTACATTTTACAGGGATTATTTTGATATATAGTGGGGTTTTTTAATTGATGGCTAATTAGTACTAAATTTAAGATACATGACAGTCTTTCAGATATCAGTATCCAGAACATGTGATACTGATTAGTTCTGAAGTTCGTATAATTTTTCTTTATATGCTTAAAGCAGTCATAATGCAGATTTTTATTGATAAATAGAAAATATGCCAGAAACACACTTTGAACAATATCACACTGGACTAGAGAAAATGAGCTGAGACTATACAAGTCCTTTTCCAAAGTAGAAAATATGTTTGGGGTATAAACACACAGTATCATTTACTATGGAATACATACATTGTATTCAATGTAAATATGCATGTAGCTGTAACAATAGCATTTATAAACATGGCTTGTACAGTAAAACACGCTAATTGCGAAGTTGCTTTGTTATAAATGTATTTTGTTATATCCGTGAAGTTCATGATACTTTTCAAAACCAAGGGGAAAGAAAATCACTTTGCTATAAGCAGTGTAAATTCATTATAAGCGTTTTCGCAATAAGTGTGTTTTACTGTAAATTGATAATACACATTTATTAAACCTTAGGAATGAAAACTTCCTTAAAAACACTTGACTTATCATTTATTATACTCAGTTATGATTTGTCAAAAAATATAAACGTTTTCTCAGTATAAGATCTGTGTTTTCTGTACTTAAACAGCTTCTAAACATCATTTCACATTTGATACAACCATCTGTATCGTGTATACATGTACCTATTGCAATGATTTTCAAGTTCATATTGCTATTTTATCTTCCTGTATTACATAATTTTCAATACAAATCTTGGCAGTCTATAAATAAATAATTTTCTAATTATTTTTTTTTTTTTACAACAGATATACATCCAAAATATATCCACTTTTGTAAAAGGATACCAGATTTTCAATTGCTCTCAGATATTACATTCAGTTTGATAACTTTGTAATGACTCATACAAAATGATTTTCTTGACATGGAAAAAAGGAAGAATCTATCTTTACATTATACATAAATGTGACCTTGCAGAAAAGACCTACTATAAAGGGGTCAAGTAGTTTAAGCACTACTTATTGTAATCATTTCTTCAACATTTTTTTTGTTGTGTTTTCATTGCCATCTTTGACAATAACATCCCTTTTACTGTAGAAGTCATGTTTCATCCTTTCCTTGAGAATTTTTCCTGTCTTCCTTAGTTGATTTCAGGATATACTATTAACATGGTTTGAATTTGAGTTGGAGGTCATACGAGAAACCTCCACTGAAATTGGATTCTTTAATCTTTTCTCTAGAAATGGAAAAAAGAAATAAAATGATAATTAAAATAAGAAAATGAATTCAAAACTCAATGGTCACTGAGTAATATCTAATGTGTTATTATAATACACATACATGTACATGTACCTTTATTTTTATTATTATTAATCTTGTTTGTTTGTTTTTTTCAATGCAACTGATTTGCCACAACAATATATGAAGGGTAGAAAACAGTTATACTACATTTATTTATTGTAAAAAAAAGGGAATAAGAATATGGCTACTGGGAGATAACTCTATGACCATAATGTAAAGAGAGTGTAATATAGCAGGTTACTTGTTCAATGATATTTTTCACTGAATCGACAAGCATTTTAAGAAGTAATAATTGGACAGTAATTACATACAGTAAAGTAGCAAATTAAGTTATACATAACATAGATCATCTTAATTGCATTTGTCTCATTTAATTTGTTAATAAAGGTTATATTTAAAATCATCCATGAAATTGTTAAACACCAATAATTTATCCTGCCACAAGAGCCAAAAATATCCTGCACTAGCCTGAATGTGCATTTCAAATATCTCTGTCATTTGGACAACCCTTAATCCGAAACCCAACATGCAGAGTAAATAAGACCACTTACGTGTCATGATTTTGAGCTTTTTTCTTTCGCCACAAATGCAGGTGGCTCCGTAGAAGAGAAATGGTATGGTTAGTAGAATGATACTTGTGAGCAGTACGGGCATGTCGTCCCTGTCATGTTTTGTACAATTTAAGTCCTTGGCATCTCCCCACATCAGGCGAGTATAATTCATCTGAAATAATGAAAAAAGAGCTGTAAATCTCTTCATTAAATATGATTTACTGTATAAGCTGCATGCAGTTGCATAAACATCAATTAAATTTGACTATGCATTAACTTTGCCATTTAATTTAATCTAACAAAGATTTAACTGACATTCATCCTGGGTCCCATTTCATGAAAATTAATAATTACATTGCAAATTTAACTTAACTAACAATTATTTTTCTGTTAACACTATCTTTAAAAAGGTCTACAGAATATTTTAACTTCTAGATCAAACAATAAATCTTCATGCATCTAAGTCTTGATTTGGAGTCTTTACTCAGACTTTATATTACAATGTCATTTGAAGTGTGCTAAATAGAGTTCTGTCCCCTGAAATAAAAGCTTTCTAAATCCAGTAAGTGTACTTCTTAATCATGATTAAATCTTCATCATTCTCTTAGTTTTGGACAACACATTTTAATACTTACCATATCAACTAGATCCATACAAATTTTCCCTTTATAACTGGTCCTCATGTCTTCATAATGATCATTGAGAACTAGATACATCTGTAAGCAGGCACTACATACAGTGTAATTGATGAACTGTAAAAAAAACATATTCTGTAACTCCTTGAAAGGTGCAGAAGTCAATTCATTTTTAATATATCCAAAACTCTACATGAAGTACACTCTCTATAGGCATTAAAATTAGGGCATGAAGCAATAACTATCCAATATATCAATGAAGGACATACATGTTTACTAAGATCACCAAATTTTGGTGACACCTTATTTTTCCAAGGTAGCAGTTTCGTATTTATAAGCAAGAAACATTTTTCCACAAATTCTAGGCTTGCTATTTCTGTATATAACCTTAATGGAAAAAATAGATGCAAGAATAAAATTTTCTCGAGCCCTTGTGTTAATGCGCGAAAATAAAGTTCTCGTGAATAAATTAGTGATTTACAGCACTTGCATGGAAATCTGGATAGGTGCCATTGGTGTAATTCTTCACACATTCCGTGAAGTTGTTGTACTGTCCCAGAAAGTCGATGGTACTTGTGTTATACTTGTAAGTCACAGTTCCGTTCTGATCTACACCAATTGATCCACTTGAAAAACAGTCTAAAAAATATAGATTGTTTCTTCATATTTTATTTCTTTCATTAGAATTACTCCTTTATCACATTCTATGAAATCTGTATGAAAATCAGCTATTTTACTTGTATAAACATAATACAATTCACTGTTTACAAAGCAGATGATCATTCTAACCATAATGTTTATATGTTAAATGATAAACATCAGTCATTGACTTTTCATGTTTATTGACCAAAATGTCACTAACATTTTAGTATTATTTACTTTTGTTACAATAGCACTTGACCTCCAGAGTTTACAAGTTCTTTTTTGATTTCACTTTGCACACTTCAGCGATACATGTATCCCTGGGTAAGTTTATAAATCTTAAATGATTGATCCTGAAACTCAAAATGGTGAGACACTCAACTTGCTCAGCTTTTTGGGTACAGTAAAATTACTTATTTTCATGGGGTCTAATTCTCAATGTATTTTAGGAAAAAATGTTAATTCCTTGGTTTTTAACTTCATGGATAAAAAAGTGTTGAGTATTGAAATTTTAACATTTTGTGGAGGACATACACTTGAGGGTCTCTTAACCCATGAAAACAAGAAAATAAAACCCCTACAAAAATGAGTGATTTTACATACTGTTACAGTCTTCTCTTCTCAATTGGCATAAAAATTCTCTCCCCCCTCCCCCCCCCCCCCAAAAAAAAACAAGCTATCTCCTGGCAAGTTTTAGGTCTGTCAGTTCTAAGGGGTTGGCACACTTTACATTTAACCAGAAAATACAACTAGGGCATAATACTGATTCAAAACCTGCACTGTCTGCTCAACAGGCAGACATGCTAATGACTACAAACCATTCAAATTGCGATCTCCAACCCACAGTCTCAAACAAAAAAACCTAGGCGGTCAGATCCGTTATCAGCACAGGACCAAAATGAACTAGAAGGGAAAATAATTTTGGAACCCAACCAGGATTCAATCTTAGATCTTACATATACTTTGCAGATCGACTCTTTCTACCAATTCCCATAAGGCCAAGATAAATAAATAGTGTTTCCTATTCCAGCCCGAGAAAAAATAGGGTAGGTGGGTAGGGAAAACATTTTATTTTATTTTAACATTTTATTAGTTAAAATTCAACTTCGACAATAAACAAAATGAGAAAAACAAAGAGTTCATTTCTTTTTCTAAAAAGGGCGTCTTACTAATGGCATTTCTGTTTAATGTGTATAGGATATGCATTTTTTCAAACACCGAAGTGATCGAGATTTCTAATAGTGAAGATAGAATTGTTCACTTCCGGAAAGATCGACGGATAAATTTTTCAGGGCCGGCTCATATATTTTAGGGTCGGTCGGGGAACCGGAAACACACAATTTATTTATCTAGGCCTAATTGACGAACTCGCAACAATATCACTGAGTAACAGACTTACTGTCGCAGTCTGAAGCATCCCACAGTGTCCTTATCATTGTATGAATTTGTAAAATGGCCTGTACTCTGTCTGCATCCAACAAGAACACATGGCAGCCTCCAATATTCTACAGGTATGTAATTAACTATTAATTATGTTAATTATTCATTTTACCATTAATTTTCATTCTATAGATAAAATTTCTATAAAACACATAGCTAGCAATGTCAGATAATGGTTTTTATACAAGCTGAAGATACCACTTTGACAATTATAGAATACTTTTTTTTTTAAATTGCTAGTTTCTTTCTAACCATGCTAACGGCCTCATGCGTTCTCTTGGGCACGGAGAGGAAAGGTAAGTAAGTTTCTTCCTTGAGAGATGAGCATTATTTTCAACAGCTAGCTTGTTCATAAATTATAGTACATTCTATTATACTACATGTACCATCTTCTAAAATGGGTAAGACTCACCTTCTCTATGTCATAATAAATATTGGTCACTCTTGCATAATGAACAACACACTGTTCACAGAATCTAAGAGGTCTTGCTCGTTCCACTGAACACCTAATAAAATTGGAGGCATTGTCAGCAAAATCATTTAGGTAAGCACAACATGTGTCCGTTACGTTTGATGCTGGAATGACAGATTTTAAGCGCTCCACCTCATTAGTAAACAGTGATGCCTGGTGACGAAAAATATACGCTGTCGATAATTCTGAAGTCAGTGGTTGACATACTTGACTATAAACAAGTTCTATAACAGTCATTAATTGTATTAATATCCATTTTAATCTATTCCGTTTCATCCTCTTCCGTGCTCTACCAGCATCATGTGACTGAAGTGAAAGTAGGGGTCACACTAATAAACGAAGTGCGAGAAATCTAACCGCCTTAAGGTATGTCGCTCGATCCTGACTTTGGTCATATCAAGAAATATGATTTTTTTTTAAAATATATTTTAGATATCTACACAAATAACATAGCTCAAAGTGTGCATATTAGGCAACGGTACATATTTTTTTTAATGATTTGACCTTTCCGCTTCGCACAAACCCTGTCCCATTCGTGAGAAAAATGTAACTTTTATATTTTACCAGATGTAACAATAGCAATAAATGTAATATTGTCTTATGATAAATAGTTTGAATTATATTTATAATTGAAAAAATATTGCAAATTAGTGCATGCGCGTTATTTATCATTATTGTTTATTGTGTCAAAATTTTGCACCAATAGATTTTTTTAAGCTCCTAATTGATCAGGCAATAAAATATTTTCTTATGAACTGACTGCTGTTCGGTTGAAACTATTGTGCAATTTTAGAAGAAAATGAAATTAATTAAGAAGATAGGCCCAGTAATCATGTTGAAGTAATTTTTGAGATGTTGGTCAAAATGAGCAGATTTCAGGCTAAAAACAATTTTAAGATATCTTGTTTGCTTTTTTTTTGGGGGGGGGGGGGGGGACAAGTATGTCAAATAAATTTGCAAAATTTGACCTAAAAATATTTTTGATTTATAATAAGTTACATTGATTATCCTTTGCATTCAATTTGCTAAATGCACTATATGTACAATCTGATTCATTTATAAATATATATCTCTTTAACAATATCTTCAATTCTGAAATATTTAATTAATCTCATTAATTTTCATTTTGCTTAATTGTAATGCGTGCAAAAAATTAATCAAAGAGAACAATATACTAGTAATTCAATGTAAAAACGGAATTAATGCTCTCTTTACTGTATTCGAATTATTGCGCGCATCAATTCTGATCGTCAAATGAATAAATAATATCATATAACTCGATTAACATGATTAATGCATGTGCACAGCATTTCTTTATAGAGAGAGCAACTATACTTCTAACTAGTGATTCCTTCAATTCAATATAATATTCATAATCAGTTCAGTTCTTTATTAACTTTCAGCTTTACAGCTCATCAATGCAAATTAATGCAAACATGACTGTACAAGTAGGTTTACAGGAGAATGTCGTGACAAATAAACCTACATTATTGTATTCAGTTAACAAATACAAAGAAATTCAAATTTAAATACGAAAGTAAATTCGTAATCGTTTATTATATATGATTCACCACCATACACACACGTTTTGTTTATCTTATGTAGGCCTAATAAAGTTTACTATAGCTACACATTTCTTCGCTGATAATGTAAGATATCGTTTCACTGATAACTGATTTAACTGAGTAGACACATAATATCTGGATTGCTTGAGCTTCTGCCTTTATCTGGAGAGATATGAATAAACCTTAATATATAGGAATCGCCTCAAAAAATCTTTGATCACCACTCTGCATGTTATTCGAATTTGAAAAAGAAAACATATTATATTCGAATTCTTGGTGTCCAATTATAAAATGGATGTTTACACCGTGATAGGCTTTGTTACAACATTTGTATCATTCATTACGTACACTGTGTCTTTCTCTGCACCATTTTGGTATTACATTGACCTTGACACACAGGAGGTTTATGGCGGAATGTGGCAAACGTGTGTTTCCAATTATATCACTAAGACGTGTTCGAATAATGTGCAAGGTTATAACACAGGTAACTACAATATACAACCTGCATACATATTTAGGAGAAATTTATTAAGGGTTGGGGATGGGTGTTCCGTCCCCTCCAAGATATCATAAATGGGGTTGTGTCTAATGTCTATAAATTTCCATCTTTTTAATTTTATTAACCCCTCCCCTTTCATTCTACAAAATTATACATGATTGATGCATGATTTATATATTAAATTCGAGAGACTGTCTGTAGATTGTTTTGAATGTTTCACTTATCCACAATATTGTTACATTATTACGTGAAATTGATCTTGAAAAATAATTTTTCTATAATTTTAATTTTTAAATTTGATTTTATATATAGGATGGAAACCAGCCTACCAAACCTTTGGATGCCTAGCACTCATCTGTGTCATCCTAAATCTTATATTGATGATTATCTTTGTGTTCAAATGGAGGCACAAAGACTGGCTACGTAAAGCTATTATTTCCGTATCTTTTGCCACTGGTGAGGAGTTTTAATTCCATATGAATTACGAGTAATGAAGAATACTAGTATACTAAATGCTCGTAGCGGAGGATTGATTTATTTCAGTGTTTCATTTCTTTATTTTGCATGTCAGAGATTTTATCGCCAAAATAGAATATAAATCTACTCGGACGGTTGTACGGAAAATTATGATAAACTCATGAAATGATTGAAGATCGAGATCATTAATTATCTTGGAAGAAATCATCAGGCCCGTAGAACGATATAGTAAATTTTCCTTTAAATGCTGGTTGCCCCCCCCCCCTCCCCCCATTTTTTGTTGTAAATTGTTAAAAAAATGTCTGCACTAATTCCTCTGATGAAATCCTTGTATTTGAGATATATGTAATAAAAGCATTTTCAAATGATTTAAAGAAATTTACAAATCATTTATACCAAGATCTTAATTAATTATTGCAAGCAATAATTCCACCACAGTATCGTCTTTTACTGATTTTTATTTAAAAATTAAAAGTACATATGTCATTTTCTTTGTGTTGGAGAGGACAACATAAGTTGGTATTATTTGTGTCCAATCCCACAATCGCATCATCTTGGGTCTTTCCGTCGGAGGTCGGAAAAACAACCTCTAGGTTGTTTTTTCGCTTGTCGGAAGTTTCGATTGTCCAATCTTATTGATTATGTTTCAATAAAATATGTTTAAATCATTAAAAGTACACACTTTTTTATTTAGTAATTAAATAAATTGAATTGTTGAGAGAAATAATAGAATTAATATTGATGCAAACATTACAATTATCATTACTCGTTACATCCCATGGCCGTAGGAACGTGCCCCCCCCCCAAATAATTTTGCCGATATATAGATAACTATAGAAAATATAGTTACTACTAGCTTGTGCCCCCTCAATAAAAAAGGTCTGATGACCCTTTTTTTTTTTTACTTGTCAAGGAATTTTTTTGTAGTTGATAGTGCCCCCCAACTGAAAATGTATGGCTGTGCCCCCCCCCCCCCAACTGAAATTGCTTCCTACGGGCCTGCATCCAATTATTGCACTCATCAATTTTGGTGATCCACACGGTTGAACCTGCTTTCAACTTTATATATACATGTAGTAATTTTTTTCTTATGTGATGCCACGGTTCGGTTCGCTTCTTTTTAACAGTCAATTCTACATCACTGTAGTTTCTAACTTTCTCAATAATTCTGAAATATGAATCAAGTTTTGTTTTTCTTTACTTCTCCCTGATATAAAACTTAAACTTTATATTGTATTCCAGCTGTGATGAGTTTTATATGTGTTACGATCTTCGCTGCCAAATTCAGGAATCCAGATTATAAGACAGAAGATCTAAGCTTTTGCTTTTACCTGGCCATTATTGCAATTCTGACATCTATATGTACAGGTGTGATTGTGATTGTTGGGAAAATTAAAGGAGAATGAATATAAATACCTAGTTCCATGGAGAGTATTTCACTTATTTGTGACATTGAAGATACTAAGGCGAATGTTGGAATAAGGCGAGCCATGCTAAAAACTGAGAAAGAAGCACATATCCTAATCTAAGTCATCCAATTCTTACGCCATATCACCTGTCGCTTTCTGGTGATATCAAGCAATACAGGTTTTCTCCTATGAAAGATAATCCAAACTGGCTTCTTAAAAAATCAGACCAATCCAACAAGATGGAGAATGTTCCAAAAACGACTGTGATCTTTGTGAATTATCCAGGGTTTATATATATATATATTCTATCTTTAATGATGTATAAATTAAAACCGTTTTACCACAATAAATTCTTACTATGTAGGAATTTTTCTGCAGTTCTGGCTGTATACATTGAAAAAAAAAATGATTTATTATTTTGTGAAATCCGAGTCAACAAGTTGTATCAAGATATTTGGGAGGGGATCATGCTCCTTCTCTCCTACATGCGTGGATCTAGAGGGGGGTCGTGGGGTCCGGACCCCCCCCCCCCCTTTGAAATTCGCAGAGTCATTAAATGTATATACATGTACTAAACCTACTAAAAGTGACCTTGGACCCCCCCCCCCCGGAAAATACGGAAAGTCATAAGTATGAATATAGGTCTGAAGCTTCAGAAGTCAACGACTATTCCCCCCTCCATACACCCTCCATACACCCACACGAGATAGGTTTATCACGTTTGGGAAATGAGTTAATTTTTTTTTTTTTCAAGAAATTTCTGGGTGGAAATTTTTTTTTTACTGGGGTGGAACCCCCCCCCCCCCCGGAAAAAATTCCTGGATCCGCACCTGTCCTATCAACCCAAAAGATACGGCTGGGAGGTGGGGGGGGGGGAATCATGTTCGAATCCTTCTCCCTAATCAACCCAGAAGATATGGCCGGGAGGTAGGGGAGAGGGGATCATGCTCTTTCTCCCCAGTCAACCCAAAAGATATGGCCTGGAGGTTGGGGGCCATGCTCCTTCTCCTCAGCTTGTATACTCCATAAAGATTACGCTTGCTTATCAAGATATTTAGGTACATTGTATACGTGTAGTAACTCCCCTCCCAAAAATGCCTGCATTCCATTTGTAATTCATTTTTCAACCTCAAATGAAATATAATTGGTATTTGAACAGGAATATATCTGTCAAATACTTTAAACCACCAAATATTCGCAACACATTATTTTCACGAGATAGTCTAGTCTGAAATATCCGACGTTTTCCAGGCTTTTAACGATTTTGATATTTGATGTGCCTGGCAGTCAAATATCAAAATCATGAAAAACGCCTGGAAAACTTCAGATATTTCATACTAGAGATAGTCATATTGTATTTATAAGAAAAACAAAATTTTCGCGAATTTTGGTTATTATTCTATATAATGTTAATAATATTATTTTAACTCAAAAATAAAGTTCTCATTAATAAAATGTGATTTAAAGTAAAAACATTTATAACAGAGAAGCCAATTTAGTGACTTCCATTTTACATGTAGTAAAGTAAAATAACCGCATGTACTATTTAAAATTTTTTTTATTTCAATGTTTAACAAGTTCATGTAGAGTTGTACAAGCAAACAGTTGTGAAGCTAACAACCATATTCCCTGATGGAAGTGAGTCTGATAAGTTATAACCATGAATGGCACCGAACAAACTGCTTCAATTTGATTCATTGCAACAATGTCATTCAAAGAGTATCCTCCAAAAACTTTTATTCAACTTGGGTTATCAGGATTTGGTAGTTATTGGGTTTAATCATTAATGACAGTGTAACAATTGTTGCCATTTTTTGCGAAACAATTACCCATACTGAAATTTTACAAACACTATCAAATAAATTAAACTGAAAGACAACAGGTAACAGAAGGCATACACAATAATCAATAATTTAGCATTTCAATTGTGCTTATATGTATTTTGTTAATTTTGGTAAGTTTGTTTATTGAAAGGTAATCAATTCATGGTTGATTTTTAAAATGATTTTTGTGTATTAAAGAAAAGGATATTTTAAAAAATCATCCCAGATTATTCAAACATTCCCCTGCACCAACCAGAGTTTAAATGCTCCCTTTTCTATTGTAGAAACTCAAACATTTTATTGCAGGAACTCAAAAATTCTACTGCAAAAACTCAATAACTGGTAAACTCAAAATCTGTATATGCCAATTGTGAATTTATAGTTTCTAAAATCTTTCCACAAAAAAAAGAATATACATGTAAATGAAATTCTTACAATACTTTAAACAGTGACCATTAGAATCATTTTTTTATGAGGATGCTAATAAATACACCAGTCTAGAAAAATAAATGTATGATCATATGAACCAAATATCTCAACATTCAACAACTATAATGAAATAGAAAATTGATTTAAAAGTCTACCATGTACCTCCTATATATACATTAATTGTCGGAAATATCACGAAATGTCAAGGACAGAAAACGAAATGTCAAGGTCAAAACAGATAAGAAGACTACAAGGTCAATCATGGGGGAACACTGTTTTCAGCCAAGGACGAGGTATATACTGAGCACCGTCAAATCCCTCAAAATAATTCTCTATCCCAGGATGCATAATCTGAAGAAAAAAAAAACAACTCATGAATAATTTTTGTCCTGAGGCATCTCTTTAATTATTTATGTTGAATAATTCCTCAGTCTCTAAAATTAATAACTGCAGATTAATTTCAAATACAGGTAGCTAAAAAAAAAAAAGTTTTGTATGGTTTTCATGTGATTGACAAATGTACATTAATCTTTACTGTCAGAGTTGATAATGTTTTCATGGTATATTCCCCCTATCATTCAACATTATATCTGTGTTAATGTTTTCCTGACACAAGATATTATATCAATGTTTTCCCTACATTACCTTGACAATTATATAAATACTGCATGTAGTTGAGTGTAACATTGAAAATTTTCACCCCAAGAAAACCATTGTCAACCGAGGCGCAGCCGAGGTTGACAATGGTTTTCGAGGGGTGAAAATTTTCAATGTTACACTCAACTACATGCAGTATTTATTATATTATACTGAATGTTATATTCAAATACATATTACAGTGAACCTTGCGCGCATGAATTCTGCGCAGTCAATATTTTTTTGGAATAACACCCGTCGTCAAGCAATGTTAACTGTTGCTACGCTGGTGGGCGTGGCTTCATTATTCAGCGGGTAATAGTGTTTTTTAACAAATGTTTCTCGACGAATCAGATTCAACTAATTTACATGAAAGTATAATATATACATTTATTGACTGGGGTAGGGGGTACTCCAGTATGCTAGAGGTTCACGGTGATTTACTTTTGACTTGGTATATAAGGAGCATAGGGATGTTAACTGAGGATCTTACTTGGAGTAAGTTTGGGGGCAAAATGCATTTTGTCATACCATTTTGTTGACATGAGATACTATATCAATGTTTTCCTTGACATTAGATATTACAGTGTTTATCAATGTTTTCCTTGACATTAGATATTACAGTGTTTATCAATGTTTTTCTTGACATAATGACATTAGATATTACAGTGTTTATCAATGTTTTCCTTGACATTAGATATTACAGTGTTTATCAATGTTTCCTTGACATTAGATATTACAGTGTTTATCAATGTTTTCCTTGACATTAGATATTACAGTGTTTATCAATGTTTCTTTGACATTAGATATTAAAGTGTACATCAATGTTTTCCTGACATTACCTTGACATTGAATATTATATCAATGTTTTCCTGACATATATATCAATGTTTATCATATACTTAGTAGTAAATACACCAATTCTGCACTGTGCGATACGGGTGACATCACAATACCCCATATCAAGGACCGGTCCGAAAATCCATATCACGTATCGGACCGGCGGGCAAAAATCCGTATCAAACCGGAAGAACGTTTGTTTAAAGTTTAATTAACTTGATTTTATTTAAATATACATGTCAAATATTTCTTTACTAACATCTGTGGATTTAATTTGTTTTCAAAGACCTAAAATTTGCTTTATTAGATTTTAAAGAAAAAGGTCATAAACATGCATGAAACATTCTTCAATGATTTTATGTGAACTCACATATTAAGTATTTTAAATATATGATAAATAGAATACTACATACTGATATCCATATCATATGTCATATCAGCCCTCGGGCCCCTTGATATGGGGCCTGAGGGCTGATATGACATATACGGATTTTAGTACGTAATATTCTCTATTTCTCTGACATTACCTTGACATTGATATTATAATATATATGTTTTCCTAATATTACCTTGACATTGAATATTAAAGTGTCTATCAATATTTTCCTGACATAACCTTGACATTAGATATGTCAATGTTTTCCTGACATTACCTTGACATTAGATATATCAATGTTTTCCTGACATTACCTTGACATTGGTAATTATATCAATGTTTTCCTGTGGAACATAGGTCAGCTGAGGGGTCATTCTGTCCCTTGTGTCCACAAGTATGGCATAGTTAGGTTGAGTCCTCCATTGCTGAAATAATCAATTTATCATATTTTATCAAATCTGTGTCTATTTCAAATTGAATAATTCTAAAAGCATGCTTAAAGTGTGAAATATGCTTAGGACATGCCTTTAAGAACACTTGGCCCACCCCCCCCCCCAAAAATGAAGCATAGATTGAAACTGTGGAATTATTTTAATTTGTGGGCACCAATGTTCATGGACAACCAAATTTTTATTGGTTCTTGGGGACATAATTTTGTGGGTAACTCCAATATGCAGAGGATTCAAAGCATTGATACTTTTACAAAGTTTGTTTGTGTGGATGTAAATTCCTGAAAAAGGGTTACCCATGAAATCAATGATTATTGGTTCCCCACAAACAATGCTGATTGCAAAGTAGCTCTCATCCATATCTATCAGCATATGAAGTTTGATAAAAATATCTTGGATAGTTTCTTTGAAACTGAGCTTTGAACAGAGCTAAACGCAAAGTGTGACGGAAGGACAGACGGAAGGACGGAAGATGGACATGACAAACACTATATGCCCCAGCCATATTCATGGCGGGGCATAAAAATGGAGTGTGTGTGTGTGTTGGGGGGGGGGGGAGGTGGAGGGGTTGCAGGTTGACTTACAGGTTTATCTTTTCTATGGTTCTGTTCTATCCAGCTCTCTGGGGCCTGAAGGTGAAAAAAACCATCATTCTAAAGAAACATCTTTAGTGTGATCAAAGAACATTCTTAAAATCTCAACAATTTGTATTAATTTTCAATACCCTGGCCTGTGGATCCCATGCAACTATCACCCCTCGGTAGCCCCAGATTTTGTGACGTATCACCTGACCCACTCTATATTTTACCTCAGGTGACCTAGGAGTTCGAGGCTCTGTAGAGGCTGAAAACAACATATACTTCTATACTTTAATCGACCTAATGCACAAAAGTGCATCTTTAGATTACAGCATCTTTTGACTGGAATTAGAAAGATTTTACCATACATAAAGTGCACAAAGAATTAAATTAAAATCAAAATCATGACATGATTATGTTGAATATATGGTTACAATATTCATTATTATAGTGTATGACTACAATTTTTATTTCTAGTTTTTAATTTCTGCAATTTATTACATAGCTACAAGATTTGGAACAATATATATGTACACCATTTTATCCTATAGTTCAGTAGACATAGTGATAATGGAGGTTAAATACAGAAATAAAAAAAAATGTTATAGTAAATTGCCATGACTAAGTTTAGTTTTTCCTTTAAACCATAATATATTGTTTTCAGTCAATGATTCCAAATTCTCTTTAATAATGTGATATATGACAAAGTCCTTTCTTTAAAAAAAAAACAACAGGTGATTGCTTTATGCATTTCACTATAAAGTATTACTTTGTCCTATGTGTCTAAATAATGTCACACTCATAACGTACCTCCAAAATACCCCTCTGGATCCTTGTATTTCTGCACCTCTACAGCGGGGGATTCCCCGTTCAGTTCCTCTTGACTAGCGTAACTCTGGGGCTCCTCCCGAAATATGAAGCTCATACACCACTGCTGCCATGACTTCCAGGATAAATACTTCTCCTTAAACCCAGCTGCACTGTGGAACAAACTAAGGAAGAATGTGTACAAGTTAGAAACTTAATAGATACTCAAGGACAAAAGACATGCTTTGCATTTGATTAATCAATTCATTCTACTTTGAGTTTATGCTTCTTTTTTTTAAATACAACTTTGAATTCTTAATATATATAGATTGGAAATAGAAATGTTAACTTGTATTGATTAATTCATATTTTGTCTTTTTTTTCTTTCAAAATCCTTGTTTTCCAAGCAAATATAGCAATAAATGACTGCAAAAATACCTCAAATGTACATGTACTGGTATTAAACTGGGTTGAAATGATTCAGATAAAAAAAAATTGTAAATGAAAAGAGCAATAAAATATTTTGAGTCGGGCTAATATTTGTGGGTTTTAAGGGCAAACAAACAATATATTAATTTAGGCCTAACATTAAATTGAAATGAATCACAAACAAAGACAAGACTGACTTTCTGATTGCATAGCTTCGTTGAGATTCATTGGTTGACATGTATTTAGACATGATGTATTGTAACGGAACTGCCATCAACAGCAGTCCCAACTGTAAGCCAGCTCTTCTGTCTATCGGCATTGTGCTTTATTTCCAATCCATTCATCTAAAATAATAAACAGCATTTTAAATATAAATGAGATGGAAATACAAAACTGGACTAGAAAATAACTGCATGCACATGACATAGGTAGCTACAGGATGGAGGTCTCTAGGAAAGAAAATTCCAGACAGACACCAGAGTCTGTCCAAATTTTCAGTTTTAGAGAGTTACCGTCCTGCAGCAAATGACACAGGTACAGCAAAAACTCAAAAGCATTAAGTAACTTAACACAAAGTATACATACCTATTTTATCAAAATAAAACTCATAACCTCTGAAGACTTTATGTTTCCTAAACAGGCAAATTTACTGCATGTGAATTGTTTTGTAAAATCAATGATTGCATGTTGACAATTATGCCTATGCTGCATGTTGTCAATTATACCTATGCTGACTCATTGTCTTCTTTAAAGATAAAAGAAAAACTACACAATTCAGTTCGATGTGTAAATAATTCAGAAATGTCATGCACATCAATACTTAGGATCCCCATTTCTTCTTGAACAGATTTATATACAATTCATTACTGTATAGGTTGTAAGAGTTACTGATGTTACTTTTGACAAGATCTTCAATTATTTCATGTAAATAATTAATATGAATAAAGTTTTCACAATGAAACTTGACCAGGTCCTGTAAAACACTATTACATTTAGCAATGTAATATCTTGAATGATTTAAATTCAAATATAAACTGCACCAATGTGATTTTTTTTAATTACACTCAGGTGCCAAAAGTATGTCAATTTTTTTCTTTTCACTATATATTTCATTGGAAACCAACATTTTTCAAAGAATTGTTAAAGAGTAACCCTTTGATCGATTTTAAAAAGGTATAGATTAATGAATTCAGAATTTCTCTAGCTTTTTGGTGATAATATTAAAATATTTTTCCAACCTTCTGTTCCTGAGATTTGATTTTAACAATCCAAAGTAAAATTTTTCGACCCATATATTGCAAGAGATATATAGTAGAGCTCTATAAAATATCTTTATGTTGCGATTGAAATACCTACATTTTACAAATGAGTTGACAAAACATTATTTCAATGAATGTCAAAAAAAGCCAGTTGATTCTGCTTTAACCTATATAAATTTCTTCAAAATCTGATAAAAAATGACATTAGAAAACCTTTTCAAAGGAAGTTTTGTTTTCAATGAAATATATAGGGGAAAAAAATAAATTGACATACTTTTGGCACATGAGTGTACATGCTGAAAAAATGCCCATTTAATGAAATAGGTATGACTTAGTAGCTAAATAAAGCTACTTTGAATATAATTAAGTTAAGCTTCTCACGGAGAGGGCTAAAATAGGCTATGCCTCTGCCCAATCTCATTCAGTTTTTGTGAATAAAGTTATAATTTCATGTATTTATGATCAAGCTTAACAAAGTTAAGTAATTCAAGCTACATGTACATATCTTACACTAAATCTTGTGATTGTACTGGACCTGTTGACTTGAATAAATTACCTTGCTGTAATATCTGAACATGACCAAGATGATATAAACCTGTCCATGTGTGAATGTGAGCATCTATTAAAAATTACATTCAACAGAAAATTTCATGAATTTGTTTCTGATACTTTTTTCAGCAAATGTATTGATGACTAGCCTAGAATCTCACCATGCCCTTTGAACACCAATACCACTGAAATACTCTTGCCTTGGGATAACAAAATGACCATCATGATTAAGTTTAAGGTACTGCATATTTTCATACAACACATGAATGTTGATAAATTAGTGTCTAAGGAGGGATTAGCTTTATAATGATCTCCTTGCATTGGGACCAAACTTTATCCTCAGGATCGAACAGCAAAATATATATTAATGACTTTTGCATATGCAATAGGAAAGGTCAATGTGACATACCCGACCGCAAAGGAATGGGACAGACCACACCCTGATTTGAACCCAGGCCCCTAAATCTCCAGTCAAGTGCTCTACCAACTGAGCTAAGTGGTCACCGGCACCACCATATTCCTCCCTCCTTAAAGGACTTTGGCCCCCAAAGACTCCAACCCAGGCATTCCCTTGGCAGGTCTTTCACCTGTCACTTCAGGGCATAGTACTGTTAGAATAATCTGTGTCTCGGGACAGGCCCTCACCACAGTTAGAATGCCTCCCATATACCCGTAATGTAGCAGAAAATTGCAGAATCGCTTCAAAATGATTTTGGAGAAAATTAATGAAGCTGCATTGAAAATAACAGTCAAATTAATCATAACAAACCTTTTTTGAGACTGTAAATACCTATCATCTAAAAATTTAATCCATATAATGGAAGAATTCAACACTTTTTCACCAACGTTTTTTACTCGTTTTACTCCTATCTATTCAGGGCATGGCACAACACTAAATGTAATCGAAGAGGAGATGAATGCGACAGACCAGACCAGGATTCAAACCCGAGCCCCCTGAATCTCGAGTCAGGTGCCCTAAGAACTGAGGTATCTGGCCACTGGCGATCAAACCCATCTGACCACCACACAGTCATAGGCTACTAGTAATTAAAAAAATTTATAGATGTCTCAAGAAATATAGAAATGATAAGGCCAAACCACAAATTCTCACTGCTTATTCACAAGGGCTTGCTCCTGGAGTGTAAAGAAATATTTAATTTCAAAAAAATCTCACACTAACTACTAAAACTTTAGTAGTTGGTATATGATTTTTTAATTAAATATTTCTTTAAAACTCTGCATGCTCTGGGAGCAAGCCCCAATCAACTGCCATTCAGAGCTTAGTTAAATATTTTGTGACTGGTCTCCCTACTGGATTTTCAGTAATGTCTGTTGAAGGATAAAAGTTTATGGTTTTTGCAATTAAAGGAAAAAGCAGTGTGTCAGCTGCTTTACTTGAATCATCAATTATGCAAAAATTATTGACTACCTGCTCTAGGTGTTTCTCTGTCAAATTACACAATCAACGACAGAGTCTTCAACATTCCAAAGTCTGTTATTCTCCCATCATGTCCAACGAAATCAAAAATTATAAATACGTGTTATAGGCTACCGTTTTTAGTTTTTCAAGTACTAAATTAAGGAACAAATCACGAAATGCCACGATATTGTTGACATCGACTTCTTTCTGGTTGTCGTAAAATTAACTGGTGCCCATTTATTTTCTTTTATTGCTGCTAGTTTTATGCCTCTGAAATCTATTTTCATAATACCGAAACTACTAGACTAAGTTTAGTGTCAAAAAATCCAAAGGAATTTATTTTTGATATGTGTGTGATAAATCGTAAAATTTCACTGCCGTCGTAAACCCAGAGGTGGTAAAACTCACCTGAATATTTTTCCCCCAGGCCTCAAGACCGAGAACAGACTTAAGTCAAAATTTCAAATGAATGTAACCACTGATAACTTCTGAAATAATTTTGATAATCAGACAAAATTTTCATCATGTGTTTGTATTTAAATATTTTATGTTTTAACCTACAAATTGAAATGAATAAAATACTTGCAAATAAATGTCTTCTTTATCTTGGTCCAACATAATGTTAAATATACTTTAACCCTTTTCATATTGTGTCATTCACTGTAGATTTCCATTTAATATGAAAAGGCAGATATAACTCATAACTGCAGAAATTAAACTAAAATGGAATTAGAACTCTCCAGTGCTGAGTGTTTAGAGCTTCCTTAATATATGTGGCCTTTAGCTAGTCTGTGTTTTTTTTTTCCATTACATACTCAATCCTAAGCCAAATTGTCATAACTTGATAGGTCAGCAGCCTGTAGGTCATTGTTCATTAATAAACAATAGTGTGATTAAAACAAAATATTTGCAATTCATTGTCAGTGTTTATACTTCTTCATCCTTTCTGCTGTATTGTCTGTCAAGATTCCAAAAGAAAGTTGGAGACAAGGGGAAATCCTGGGTATCTTGCCATAATTTTGTTTATTTGTTTGTTTATCACCCCTCTCGAGAATTTTTCCCTCATATGGAGATGCCACCACTTGCCTGTGAAGAGCTGCAGATTTTGATCTATGCCCGGCACTTACGGCCTTTGAGCAGTGAGGGATCTTTGTGCCAGCACCTACTGCAACACGAGACCTGTTTATTCGGTCTCATCCAATGGATCGGTCTCCACGTCTCACAGTTGGTTTCAAACCCGCGACGTAAGGATCAACTAGCTCTTACTCCGCGACTCTGTTTAGAGCAGACACTCGATCACTGTGCCACGCAGGCGATTCTTGACATAATAGTAGAAAGACTACGCTTAAAGACTATGCATCATATCTCTTTGAATGAAGCATACCTCTTTGAATGATTAAGTTTGAAATAAATAGGGTGATGTAAGTAAAAATGTTTTTCCAACATTGCTACCATGGAGATGAGCAGTGATATATACTACAGTATTTCTGGATATGTTTAACTCTTCAAACCTCATGATACATTGGAATATTAATGTCTAACGTATGTTAAGATGGCCTCATGCGTCCTCCAGAGCACGGAGAGAATACCTGTAAGTAAATGACTGTGATTTCTCTCGTCATATGTATATGTCGCACTTCCATTATGGAGTCAAATAGTGCAATTTTTTAACAAAAGGCAAAATGCCGTATTTTATGAGAGAAGATGCAATAAACCTTTCTTCCTTAAACTCTCTGCAGCAACTAAATCTTGGTCATCTACATGTTTTGTCTGCCATTATTGCATTGAATTGTGGTAGTGAAAGAATTCTGGGAATAATAAATCACACAAAAATTTGCTTGACGAACGTGCAGATTCCCGTTCAAATTTCCATTGTTCTTGCATTTTAGTTTATAGAGGTCTCTGCAACAACTACAAAAGTACAGTCAAATCTTGAACTTGTTGGGACCATGAAAATATTTCGAAATATCTGAGGATTTGAGATATCATGGGTAAAATACTTGAAGAATAAGTGGTTGGGACTTCCAAATTAGTCTGACATATCCATGGTATATGAGATATCAGTGTTCAAGATATCAAAGTTCAACTGTTTCATTTATAGACAAAAGAACTTGTTTAATATTGGTAAATTATGACCTTGTAGATGCTGATCATGTACTACAGCAAAATTTCCTGCAGTTAAACAGAATTGTTGATATGCAGACAGTTGGGCATCAATTTCATATATACAGGGATTTATCAATGCTGATTTAACTACTTCTACTAGTAAAAGGTACCCTTTCCCTTTGAACAAAAAAAAAAAATCAGTTACAGAAATTTCAAATAAAATATCTATATAAATCCCTGATATATACCAAATGTTGCTTCCCAATCAGGATAAAAACAAATGTCACAAAAACAAAATTTATTATCATATTTAATAGAAATGTCCATGGTACATAAAAATTACTGATATTATGTCATCATTAAATATTTACTTCATTCTTAATTAATCATGCATTTCCTTCATACAGGCTCAAATCAGTGATAACATTTTCATTTTTTGCAAATGTCACCAATATTCAAACATTTCAAATTTTCCGGAGAAATGAAACAAAACATGCTATGGAGAAAAAATAAACCAACTCGCTCATATGGAAATATCTACAAGTAATCCTTTGAAGTGAATGAAATTATGGAATGAGACCTGAAATTCTATTATACAATGGTTAATTTCTCCAATTTTGATTAGCTTTGAAAGAATGTGAGAGAGAGGGAGGGAGGAAGATTGAAAGTTTGTGAATAAGAACTACCAGGAAAATTTATTGTGTAATTTTGCAACTTATTCATCTTTATTTTTCTGGGTAACTGAACAAAAAACCCTTCAAATGACTATACACATTTTTGTTCTTCATCTTCTCGATGACTACCATATGTACAGTTTTATGTGAAATGAATTTTATATACTTAGACCTGAAGAGACAAATTACGTAGAAAACTCAATTAAAACCACCATTACATGCAAACTCTCTTATGAAAAAAATAAAATAAAATCACTCTCACTTTAGCAATATCATAACCAGTGTACATCAACAAAACTGCTAAATACCATGTACGCTTACATATATCAAGGGGAAATAAAAACATGCTCCACAATGTTACACTCAATCATTCTTCATATTCTGTCATCTTCAAAAACTGATAAATTAAAAAAAATAATTGCTCATTGGCACAAAATGTCACAGAAAATGAAAATCTTCATCAAAGTCCATCTGCATTTGAGAAATGCAAGCACTGGTGCATTATTCTTGACTGAAATGTCACTTAAACAAGATTACAATATCAATGATTCATGCCCGGTTTCAGAATAGGTGATGTCCAAATTGCAGAACTTGTTCTCTTGTTAAACCTAGCCTTCTTCTTGACAAACAACTCATTGAGATCTGGTGGCACGATTTCTGTGAAAAGCAGATTCAAATCAGGGGGATGGTAATGCTGTTGAATCAAAGCTGCCTTCAAAGATGCCCCTAAAAGAGAAATAATCAGGGTTAAAAATAGCAGTTCTATTTCATTTGCATACAATCTATTGAGAATGTTTGCATTCTCTCTCTTAGAATTACTGCCATAAACCAGAGCAGAATAAACACAGGTAACCCTATTTACCCCTGCATTTCAGTAGGGATAGCACAGGCCTTTCAAAATCTGCCCGTACTTTTACCCCGCTGAAATTATGATTTGTACCAGGCAAAATCTTTGTTGGAGAAATATTTGATAACATATTTATTTGAAATCACTTCCACAAGGTACCTCCTATTTTTCTACAATACCACCTGTTTCTAATCTTTTTGAAAGCCCTGGTAGCATAATTAATTAATTTTATGCACCGAGATCAGTAAAATAAAAATTAGGGATGTCAACGAATATTTGAGTACTCGGATCATACCGACTATCGACTAAATTTTTTTTCGTTAAAAATTTGCTACTTTATAGTAATCTTAAATTCAAGGGAAAATAAGATTGTATCTCCTTAGTTCATTTATTAATGTATCACTGTTCATTTCAAGTACTCGACTATCGTTCGATTAAAGCCTCCGACTATTCGACTAAGCTATCCGAGTAAAATTGACATCCCTAATAAAAATGCATAGGTCCTCTTTGCGAAAAAGACCTACATTGATTTATTTTTAAAGGAATGCTTGGGTAATACAGATGCCTTCCTTTGATACATAAGTGTCAATTCAATTACACCGGATTCTTAAGAGAAATTCTGCTGCTAATACATGGGTTTTGAAGAAATCAAAATTTGAGCTTACCTAGGGCCCAGTTTGGCACCCTTTTTCTGGGAGCATCATCTTCATCGGTGGAGTCGTCAGATCGAAGATCAGAAATGTCATAGCTCTCCAAGGAGACCTTCTGTGGGAGAAATTTCTTAGCAGGTGTCATTTCATACCTGCAAAATAAATTTTGTAAAAGTTTTTCTCGCATAATCACCAGTGTAAGATTGACTTGTCCGGTGTGAGACAGCAGTGTGAGATTTTTCTGTCTTACACTGTGTATTACTACGCCGGGAATGATAACGTAAACATTCCGGCTTTATATAAAGAAATTGTAACAATGTTAAAAAATATTACATATACTTAAAATGTTGTCATTTAACTTATTAAGATAAACTTATTTTCATTCAAAATATTGTCGTATTTTCACTTTTTAAATGGCACTATTTTTAGATCGCGGAAGGATTCTTCTTGAATGAATGTGTACGCTATCGAATAGATAAGTTTTTTTATTCCCAGTTTTTATCTATCTAATTAATTTACATGGACTGAAATTCATTTTATCAGTTTACACTTTGTGTAAACCATTTTCAAGTACGCTCTCTCCGATGGTGTATTTAGATTTTTAATTAGATGGAAAATTAAAAGAATATATTTTAAGCCCTATCATGGCGACGTCATTGACAGGCCGTTATTTTGGATAAAATAATGCGAGAAAAATAATCATTCATTACATACTCGTGTGGGAATAGTGAAATTCCACCTCGGGGCCAAGATTCACGGTCTAGGACTCGGCAAAGCCTCGTCCTAGACCGTGAATCTTGTCCCCTTGGTGGAATTTCACTATCCCACACTCGTAATAATGAATGATTCTATTAATCTCCACTGAATCTAATTTTTGACTACTCTAGTAGTCGTCCTTATCGGTGGATGCAGGATGATGCAGCAGAGTTGTGGAAAACTTCCGGTCATGCCGGCAAAACCGACAAAAAATGTGTGTGACCGGTAAAATTGTTATCGATGTCGGTCCAAATGACCGGCCCCTTTTTTGGTTAAAGTTTTTTGTTTTACCATTTATCATCGGCACACTTCCCAGCTTAATTATCTTACCTTATATGTATATGCAATTGTGTAATTCTTTTTCTTTACACAAGATCGAGACTATAAATGAAAGCGAAACTAGCATGTTCTCGTGACCTATTAAATTAACAACTGGGACAGAGGTAGAAAACATAATGAAACAGATAAAGACAAGCTAAATATGAAAAATTTCGACAGAAAGAAATCAAATAGTTGGGAAAAGCGGTAAATCTAGTTCTTCCGATTGTCCCGAATTTCGTTTTTTCATCGATCGTGTTGATATCTTTATTGTCGATGCACATAATTTCCACAATTTTTGACTCATTTTCTAGGTTAATGTAATTCCCAAATGCATAAATGTTTAAAAAAAATTATGTTTACTATGCTGAATTAGCATTGTCACCTGCCCAAAAGTGGCGAAATCTAGTATTGTTATAAACGCATAAAACGAAAATGGAAGAGGACTTTGAAATGGAGACTGAATGTTATATTATTATTAGGTAAATAGATGTGTAATGAATTAAATAAATGTTATGTTTTTTTTTCTTATTTTGCGACTTACTATTTCGGACCGGCAAAAATCACTTCGGACCGGCTTATTTTGTCTTCTTGCCAGTCCGAATGACTGGCTTTCTGAAAAAGTTTTCCACAACTCTGTGCATCATTTTTTTTTCATAATGCATCATCTAAAATTTTAAATGTAAATTAAGCTCCTCCAAAATTTGCTTTTAATCTGTACATACAGTGTAGCTCTTTCCTTCTTTTATGATAAAATATGGAAGGAATGAACGATTTCTTACGAGTCGGGATTTGGCATTTTCTCCTGGCTATTGATTGGCTGTTCGACAGTCAGCGTGGAGTTCAGGTTGGGTTTCGGCATTCCCGAGATGACACTGGTAACTGGGACACTCTGGGCATACATGTTGTGTTTATTTACAATGGCATTGATTGCCCTCTCCCGTTCCTTTAGTTCCTGTCTACGCTTTTCTTCTTCTATTAACCGCTTCTTCTCCTTAAAAGAGATAGAACACGTAGAGACAGAGTCGAGTGTAGTTATATGTAAGCATTTATCTTACTACATGTACAAGTAACATTGTCAACTATATATAGGAAAAAAGAAATTAATGAAAAAATTTCAACGAACATTTATATGTACTTATTAAAACAGATTTTAAAATGGAAGCTATACATGTAATTTCAGTTGTGCAAAATTGAGGTACTTTACCAATTCTTTGATCTTTTCCATTTTCTGTTTCAACTCCAGTTCCTTTTGTTTTCTTTTTTCTGTATCCAGACGATCCCTTTCAGCTCTTTCTTTTGCCAACTGCCTCTCTCTATGATCACAGTTATTTAAATTAATATTTTCATCTGAACATATCATTAAAATGAATGATTATTAGAACTCTCAAACAGTGCAAAAATTACACCATGAACATAAACCATGAAGAATTTTTTTAACATTAACTATTTCACTTGAAATAACAGTTTCTCTTTCCCCCTCCCTCCCCCTCTTTAGAGCCTAATTCAAACACAAAGAAAATGCCATAATGTAAACATTTAGGAAAAGCAGCAATGACCACATTTTTCAGGATTATCAAAATAGTTGAACTTTAGCATCTCAGATTCAAGCATCTTGAATACAATGGATATATCAGACTCAGTGTTTTCCTTTTATTTCAAAGTAAAGGGTTAGAGATTATTTGTAACAGGCTAGAGGTTAAGGTTTATGAGCAAAATCTTTGTGGACCTTACAACAATTATGTGTAATATTTAAGATCTATAAGCGAAATCATTATGAACTGAAGCGGTCAATTTGGCCGGTAGCCAATTCTTCGGGAATACACTGCAGACTAATTTGAAAGTCCCAATCACTATTTTCTTATAGTACTTATTAAACCTCGAACACTTCAATCTTCAAATATCTAAAAGAGTTTTTCTTGGTCCCATGGAGCTCTAGATAACAAGATTTATTATTCTCCATTTCAGACATTTCTCACCTTTCTTCCCTAAGTTTCTGTCTCTCCCTGATTTTCTCCTCCTCAATCTTCTTCAGTCTCTCATGCTCTGCGATCCTCTCCCGCTCAAACTCAGCCATTCTCTCCTCGAATTTCCTCCTCTCCTCTGCCTTCTTCCTCAGCCTCTCCTGCTCCTCATGCTCCTTCTTCCTCTGCATAAACTCTATATTCCTCTGTTCCATCTCCTCCTGAAATATCAAAAGTGTTGCATAGACTTATTACCTGCGGTTTTTCTTCTTATACATGTATATTTTGAAGTACTTCTTACTCACTGAACCTGCTTAAAAAACTTTAACATGGACACTTATCTGGAAAATATAGGTCAGACCCAGCATCTGAAACAAGTCCAGTAGTGTGCATCCTTAGGTGTATCATCCATACAAGTTTGGTCAATAAAAGGGCTTATAGTTACTTGGAAATGAGACCTGCTTCAAAAAATTAAGCCTGCTCCAAAAACATTAACCTGGCTCCGGGGCCATAAAACTTGGATGATCTCACTTTTGATCTCAATCCCACTTTTTTACTATGAATTCCTTGTGTAAAAAGTGAGATCGAAAGTGAGCTCGTCTAAGTTTTGTGGCCCCAGAGCCTGGTCATTCTTAAGCTGAAATTGCAGCATCTGAAACCTGGACTGGTATGATGAAACTTACTAGAAGCATCTTCCATGCATCACTGAATAATATAGGGCATAGAAGTACTTGAGAAGAAATCTGCTCCAAAACTTCAACCTGGGATGTTGATGCCAAGGGTATTACATAAGCTCCCCCCCACCCCACCCCCAACTTTGTAAAGGTGAACTAAAAACTATATGTAAGGCCTAAAAAAATTAATAATTTGGTTCTCAGGCCCGCCCGCATCTCATTCAACTATGTGCAACACCCATTTTTATCCTCAAATGAATAAAATAAAATTTCTCTCATGCTCTCGTGCGGTGCAAAAAAAAATCCAGAATTCCCGACCACATTTTGACTGCATTTTAGAAATCAGTAAAACGTTTGACAAACATCAAGATGATCCAGACTATTGGCCTAGTTAAAAATCGCAAATATGGCCATCGAATTAACAGGATAAGGCATCAAGATTAAGAAGTAATGATGGCATTGATTTCAGTGCATATTCATAAGAGAATAACTGTAACACTTCCATGATACAAAGTGGGGGTTTCTGAAGGTTTTTCCATGCTAGAACTCTATCAATAACGCTATCAAAGTCGGCTCCCTCAACCTCGGAACTTGGATGTCAGCAAGATTCGCAGATTTCATTTAGTTTGGGTAAACCAAAGACTGATAAATTTGACAATGTTTAATAAAATCATAAGCGCTATTTATAGTGGTGAAACACTCTTAGATTAGTTGTGTTGACCAGATGCATCACTAAAAGTGTTGGGTTTTGAAAGTTTAACACGTCTGGTTTAGGGATGCGCGATTTTATCGGTATACTGGTATATCGCGATTTTTTATTGCGTGATACGTATTGTGATATGGAGACTAAAATACCGGTAATTGGTACATAACTATAAATTCCGGAAATTATTCATATATTTGATCAAACTATTGAATGACAATTACAGGAAGTGTAAAAAAAATGTTAAAAACAGTAAAACAATGCCAGCAAAACATGATTTATATTAAATAAATGAAAATTTAAAAAGTAAAGTTATGTTTTTATAACATATTTTTAAGAAACATTATGGAAATTCATTTGAAATTGTAGTAAAAATATCATGATTTATCGTGATATCTTTGGGGAAAAATCGTGATATATCACGATACGAAATTTTTGCAGATACCCATCCCTAGTCTGGTTTTTAGGATGCCATCGTTTCAGTACACGAATCATCGGCATGTAGAAGATGCAAGAGAAAAGAGAAAGAAGCAGGAAATAAATTATCTTGATTTCTACACTCAATGTTGAAGAACTGTTGATTAAAAGTTGCTAGTTTTGAACTTACATAAAAAAAAAACAAAAATCCCGCGTCTGTTTTTTATGAGATAACAAGATGTGTTTGTGAAACACTATGCACCCGGCGGCAACAAAGTTCGAAAAAGCTATTTTTAGCGTATAGGTCACAGTCAAGGTCACAAGGTCATTGACCTTGGTGTCATTTGAAAGAACTTAATTAGTGGAGTATGCATACCAAATATGAAGTCTCTATCTCCTATGGTTCAAAAGTTATGGCGAAGGTTAAAGTTGACAACAGACAGACAGACAGTACAAAAACAATATGCGCCCCCGATCTATCGATCCGGGCGCATAAAAAGGAAAAAAAAAACCTCCCTCCCGCATTCATTTTTGAGAAAACTGGACTGAGAACCAAGTTATAAATTTTTTTTTTCGCCTAACATGTACATCAAATGTGCATAAAATTGTCCATCTTCTACACTCTCAGTATCCAGATTTATCCACACTGAATGGAAGTAGACATACTGATGTGTACTAGTAAACATTTAAATCACCTGTTCCTTGAGTTTTCTAGCTCTCTCTTCCTCTTCTTGTCTCCTTCTTTCTTCTGCTTCTTCCTGCTTTTTCAACCTGAAAGTTAATACCTGATTATTCTTTGTTCACAGTTGACACAACTAGAGATACACATTTATTTATGCATGGACCTAAAGAAAAAAAAAGATTGAAAGTGATGTTTTCATTGATATTTAAACACCATCAACCTACAAAGTGAAATTTACAAGTGCCTGTGCAAAATGTATTTGTCAAGCTAATGTCCATCTTCACTAGCCAAGGGTTTCTGATCCGCTATTCTCCTCATAAACCCTTGGCACAGGGTGCTGTCAAAAGTCAGGACTGTTTATGTCACATGATCTTGAATCTTACCCAGGAATTTTCCACTACCTTTTGGGAATGGGGCCTGGGCACTTGGAATTGGGAATTTAATATTTTATCACTGATTGGGAAATTATGTCACATGACAATTTTCAAGAAATAAACAAATACTAATGATGAATAAATCTGAGCTTTTATTTAATTATTTAGAACTTTTAATCAAAGAGTAGATTAATCAACACATCACTAGAACAATGTGTCTTCAAATTTTAGTCATTCTATTGATTTTCAACTCTGACTGTAACACAGTTATTTTATTGGGAAAAAGGAAGGGTTTTTGCAATTTGGACTGGGGCCTAAATTTGGCCCTACACGGGACAGTGGAAAATCCCTGCTTTCCACGCAAGGACTGCCTCATCCACAGAAATAACAAAATGTGTTTGTGAAACACTGATGCCCCCGTATGGCAGCTTAGGCGAAGGTAAAGTTTCTCAAATGCAAGTCAAAATCCAGGCCAAAAGATAAAAAATGTTGGTACCCAAAGAAAGGTCTTGTCTCGATGAATATACCTGTGAAATTTGAAAGCCCTAGCTGCAACTGTTCAAAAGTTATGGCGAAGGTTAAAGTTTTTCAAAAGTAAGTAAAACGTCAAGGTCAAAGTTGTTGGTATCCAAAGGAAGGTCTTGTCACAAGGATTACATATGTAAAGTATGAAAGCCCTAGCACCAACCATTCAAAAGTTATGACCAAGGTTAAAGTTTTTCGAAAGGTCAAACTCCTATGTCAAGGTCAAAGGGTCAAAGTGGTTGGTATCCAAAAAAAGGTCTTGTCACAAGGATTACATATGTGTTCAGAATGAAAGCCCTAGCACCAACCATTCAAAAGTTATGGCCAAGGTTTAAGTTTTTCAAAAGTAGGTCAAACTCCTATGTCAAGGTCAAAGGGTCAAAGTGGTTGGTATCCAAAGAAAGGTGATGTCAAACGGATTACATATGTGAAGAATAAAAGCCCTAACATCAACCATTCAAAAGTTATGGCCAAGGTTAAAGTTTTTCAATAGTAGGTCAAACTCCTTGGTCAAGGTCAAAAGGTCAAAGTGGTTAGTATCCAAAAAAGGTCTTGTCACAGAGATTACATATGTGAAGTATGAAAGCCCTAGCTCCAACAATTTAAAAGTTATGGCCAAGGTTAAAGTTTTTCAAAAGTAGGTCAAAATCCTAGGTCAAAGTCAAATGATATCCAGAGGAAGGTCTTGTCACAAGGAATACACATGTAAAGTTTGAAACCCCAAGCACCAACTGTTCAAAAGTTATGGCAAAGGTTAAAGTTTTTTCAAAAGTAGGTCAAACTCCAAGGTCAAGGTAAAAAGGTCAAAGTTGGTGGTATCCAAAGGAAGGCCTTGTCACAAAGAATACATGTTTGAAGTTTGAAACCCCAAACACCAACTGTTCAGAAGTTATGGCCAAGGTTAAAGTCTCATAAAATTTCGCAAAAGTGGGTCAAACTTCTAGGTCAAATATGATGGTATCCAAAGAAAGGTCTTGTCACAACAAATACACATGTGAAATATGAAAGTCATAGCTCCAACCAATCAAAAATTATTGGCAAGGTTAAAGTTGACAACAGACAGACAGACAGATAAACAGACAGACAGGACAAAAACAATATACCCCCGGGATTTTTCGATCCGAGGGCATAAAAAGCGTGATAAAAAATATAAGTATTTAAAGAATAATTAACAAGCGAGTATTGAACGTTGATAGTTTATTTGTTATGCATGGTGCAAATCTATACCTGTAATACAGATTCCTAATCACATTATGTGCACACCTTTAAGAGGACATACCTCATTTTCTGTCTCTCCTGCTCCTCCTTCATTTTCTCCTCTTTCAGATCATCAGCCTGCTTACTCTTCTCCTCCAATGTCTTCATGATTCTATTTTTAGACTCCATCTCCTCCCGATTGGCCTGCTCTCTTCTCTCGTTCACTCTCCTCATCCTCTCCTCCCGCTTCCTACAAAATCAGTTTCACTATATATTAGTTTGTAAATGTAAGGTTTAAACGTGTGTATTTTAGGATGTGAAAATGTTTTTCTATCAAAAGCATTTTCTTTGCACAAATATATCAAGGGATCTCAATGCAAAATGTCCTTTTCTACTCAGTATAGTTTATTTCCACATTTAAGATTTCCAACTTTGAATAAATTTTGAGAAAATTTTTGCACTGTAAATGCATTATCTACTGTAAAAAAAAAAAATGCACTTAAGAAAACAAGTTTTTTTATAGCACGAACAAGCTAAAATAGCATTGTACACAGTAAAATAATCAGTAGTTTTATCTTTGCCTACACCTTCCTCCAGGAAATGAACTTACTTTCGGAGTTCCTCTATCTTTTTCTTCTTCTCTAGTTCTCTCTTTTGTAACCTCTCAGCCTCTTTCTTTTTCTTCTCCTCTAGTTCTCTCTTCCTTTGTTCTTGCTGTTCCTGTGTCAACAGGAATGAGAAAAAGTCTAGTATATTGCTCAAATTTAGATATTTTTTACACTATTCTTTTATATATTCTTTATATAAGTACCTCCTTAAGTCATGCTATAGTACCGTAAGTTTTGGAAGCTAGGACGATACTTTTTTTCTCAGAACGCTGGGGTCGTCCTATTTAACGAATCGACCTATCTAAGGCCCAAGTTTACGAAAAATGCCCCAAAATCAGTAAAATTTACGTCAATTTTAAAGCAAATCTGTGCCATTTTCGTATTCTTTAAAATTACTTTACCGAGAAAAAAATAATAAACAATAAAGAATTAAATATTTATTCCATTGATTTCTTACCAAAAAAGTTCCATTAAATATCCGTCGATGTACAAAAAAAACTTATTATATCATCAATAATGTCTCAAAGTATATTTACAACATGCTGTGTCCATCTTGTGAAGTTGTAAGTCGCAATCGTTTACTAAAAATAAAACCGCAACCGTATCAGTTTAAAATACGGAGGAGTTTTCACAATCGCAATTGTAATTTTTTTTTTTACCATTTATTTGTAACGATTAATTTAAATACTACACCTAAATATTTTTCATTGTCTTGTGATATTTATTTAAATGTAAAATGTGTGAAATAAATTGTTGCCAGTAAATTCCTAAAATTATTTACCAAATATACCGCTAGTCATAACTATTCTGTTTTATATCCCAAGGGGTACAGCGAATTATACAAAGATTGGCTTCTAATAGAATTTTAATTGTCTGACAGATAGAGGGATATACACTGTGTACACGAAGGTGTTAACACCTGTTGGTTTAAACACCTGCGGGGCATGATTAACGGATCCACGTGCCGTTGCAGGGGTATTAGTGCTATACATCATTGAACAAACAAAACTGTGAAATTCCTGATGACTGTTAAATTGCTAATGTACTCTCAATTAAATTTATTTTTTACAACAATATCTCAAGCAAAATTATAGCATGTTAATATGATCAATTTCATTTGCGCACTGTTACATGTAATAGTCATTTGTGTGTTTTAGCAAATCCCTGGACAAGAAATATAAAAATGGCGGTCATCGCACTTAATATTGTACCCCGGTAAATAATGTCGGAATAAAAGAATGTGTCCACAATGTTCTAAAATGGAAATGATTATTGTTTGATTTCGGGTATTTCCCTAATTATAGCTGTTGTATACTACCGTATTTATGTGTTTAACGACAGAGTCAAACAACGACGGCGTTGAACAGGCAAGTTGGAGAAAATACGTTATATATCAATTCTAGGAAGTTTTAACTATGTTTGTATAAAACACTATTAAAATGCTGTACTCATAAAAATACCAGTTTATTTTCTTCATACGTTAATATTACGGGTTAAGTTAAAAACCTTTACATGTTCTGATACGTAGTTTCTACGTAAGAATCTCTAGAAAGTCGATAAACAAAGCCTCGTCCTATCTTCCAAATCGTCCTATCTAAGGATTTTTTAAAAATTACGGCTGAAAATGAGCCTTTCGACCTATATAACCCATCGACATATACCCCAAAACTTACGGTATTCTGTTTCTTTTTATGACTTTATAGTTGAACAAATCAGAAATATAAATGTACAACTCTCAATTCAAGCTACTTGCATTGAATGAAAACCCCAAAGTTTGTGTATGCTTACTACAGGTCAGTGCAGGAATTGTTTCTAAGGTCTCCCTTTCATGTTCTTCTAGATTGTAATGTCATTTTATTTTTCTCGCTCTATGAACTTTGACCTAACTTACCTTGACAGTGAGTTTGTTAGGTGGGGTATTCTGATGCAGGAAGGACTTCACTCCACTGAAATTCAGTCCAGCTGGTCGCACCACCTTATTGTTTAAGTTGTTTAGGAAAGACACTGGTTTCACAATCTGAATAAATACATGAAAATCATTGAACAAAACGATGTAAAAACTGAACCAAGATTACTAATCCCTTTCTTTGGAAAAAAAGTAGCCTCCCCCCTTCTTTTCACACACACAAAAAAAGCATAGCAGCAGTTGCAAACTGACTTTTAGATGTGACCTTTAACATAGGAATGACCTATAATGTATATTTGGATACCTTTGCCTGCGCTCGGACTGTATCAGGAGTTTCATCTTCACTCTGACTGCTTCTACAATGTACAACATACATGTATAACAAAATTACATTCAGTTATGCAACCATAAAATCAAAAGAAGAATAACTAAATTTCATCACTGTGGAATCATTTTAATTCAAGGGGGTCAATGTTTGTGGTTAACCAAAATTTTACTCATTAACCAGACAGCAGGATGTTATTTTGTGGGAAGCTGGTCTAAATAGAAGATTCAATTCAGAACTCTCTCTACATTGCACACAAGAATTCTAATTCTGTGTTAATTTTGAAAGTTAGAGTGATCTGCCCTTACATCTAAAATAAATTCATATACAGTGTATTACTCAATTTGTAATTAGGCCAAAAAAATAATAGCCTTGTTTCCTGCTACCAGCCTGAAAAAAATAGGGTAGGTAGGTAGGAAAATTATTTTATTTTATATTTTTATATTATTTTTTTCCGACAGCATTTTTTTTTTAAATAATTAATTTTTTCAAATAATACAAGATCAAATTTAACATGTCACAGGTCAATATTGTCTTTTAAAATTAAATTTCATGTCTTTTTATGCACAACTCAAGTGGTATTGTATGAAAGTCCATATTTAAAATAAGAAATTCATGAAATGCTTGTTTTGTGTTAACACGGAAACCGATTATGGTGACAGAACAATGAAATTCTGGAAATTCCCGATTTTTTTTCTTCCAAAACTTAAAAAAACTTTAGGGTCGGGTAGCAGGAAACAAGACTATTATTTTTTTTGGCCTTTATATAAGGATTCTTAAAATTTTAACAAGCCAAGATAAATTCATTGAACACATTATTTGCATGCATTTTCCCCACAAGTGAACAACAGTGATTCCTCTCTAACAACACTTTGCTGTCTTTGATCAATTGCTTGCTTCCGATATCAAAATTGTATTAGAGTTATCACCCCTAGATCTACTTCCGGGTAGGTAAATATTCGGGACGAACCGCTGCAACTTTTGATGTGCAAAGTATATCACTATATGTGTATCGACATGACAAGCACTGAGAGACAGTGAGTAATGACACAATATTTAAGTCAAACAGTTTCTTATCTTTTATAGCAGAAAAATTAGCTTTGTATACATGCACAATAATCAAATACAGCGCACAAGATTGTACAGCATGTTGTACATGTAGGCCTAGTACGCACCAGCGCACTATTAACTTTCGATTTTGTGTGCGTGTGTTGTAGTACGCACGATTTACTCTCGAATTAATTAATTCTGTTTTACATGTATAAATTATGTATATAAGCTTAAATTTTGGAGTAAAATAATCTTATATCGTCTTTACTTATGTGCATAACAGTGCCATGTTAGTGTACTATGCGTCTAGTGTCTGTGTATATAAATGTAAACTAATGCATGATAGATAATACATGTAGCTACAATGTGAGTGTATAAGTTTGTATGAAATCGTTAAAGATATACAAGTAAGCCTAATATTTATGGGTACTCTAGTTTCTTTCATTTGGGGGGGGGGGGGGGGGGGGGTAAATGTGACTATGCTATGTAAATGTTAGCAAAGATATTAGTTGTAATATTTTTTTTTTAAATTGTAGAGATCCCCTAACCATGTCAGATACAGAACACGAGTCTGTAGAAGTGCTAAGGACCTGGAAGGTGGACCAGTTGAAAAAATGGCTGATTACAAGAGGTCTTAAACGAAGTGGAAAAAAAGAAGTTCTTGTGAAAAGAGTGTATAGAGCGATGCAGTCTGGGAATGATTCTTCCAGTGATTCAGCGTCTGAGTCTGATCTTGACGACACACCCTGTGTAACACCCATGAATGAAATAACTGAACCATGGAGAAACATTTCTGTAGATTGTCTTCCTCCTTTAAATGAAAAAGATATTGATAACTATTTTATTTACCAAAAAAATCCTACATCTGGGAAAAAAGCACGTTTCCAACGGCATATGAAGAAAGCTCAAAAATTTGCTGCAGAGGGTTATATTTACAACATTTTTTATAATGCAGTTTCTGAGAAGTCTGACTACTGCTACATAAAATCAGACTGTAAACCATCCATGAAAACCAAGGTTAGTGTGGGTATTTGTGGAAAAATGACTGACCATTATTCCCTACATGTCTGTCTAGTTAAAGAAACTGGGAAAATAGAATCAGCTTATTGCAATTGCAAAGCTGGAGAGTGTGGTTTGTGTGCTCATGTAGGTGCCTTGATGTACACTGTCTCAAAAGTCAAGAATGCTTGTACTTCCCAAGAATGTCAATGGAACAGACCTCGGCCATTGAAAAAGAGGCAAGATCCTATGAGAGTGATTGATATCCAGTTATCTGAAAATGAACGTTGTACAGGAAAACCCTACCCTGATGTGTACCAAGCAGGTCCCTGTAAAGACCCTGATCAATTCTTGCAAGATTTGATGTCTGAAATTGGTGAAGTAAATCCAAGATGTGTTCTATACCAGACTCTTGGGTGTAAACCAGCAGATATAAGCAGTTTTCTTTCAGCATATGAAGTACATACTGAGGAAATACCAGATGATGATGACCTTAACACTGCTGTGTACCAACAGAAGTTTCAGGAGTTTTTAGAAAATCTAAAATTATCATCAGAAACATGTGAGAATCTGGAAATAGGAACACGGGGCCAGTCTATAAATAACAATTGGATGGAAGCACGCAAATATTTAATAACCGCCTCACAAATGGGTGATGTATGTAAAAGAAAAACTGCATGTCCAGATGCACTTGTCCGTAGACTTATGGGATATACCCAACCCCCTCACCAGGTAAAAAGCCTAACATACGGAAGGAGCAATGAAAAGAAGGGTATTAAAGCTTATGTAAAAGAACACTCTTTAAAATGTGGAAAGGAAAATGTGCAATATTGTAGTAGGGGTCTTCATGTCAATCCTAAATATCCATTCCTCGGTGCCAGTGCCGATGGTTTGATTTTGTGTAAAATTTGTGGAAATGGGTTAGTAGAGGTTAAATGTCCTTATGGCCATAAGGATAATAAATGGAGAAATATGACTCCTGCTGAATGTGCCCAAGACAGTTCATTTTGTTGTCATCTTTCTGATCATAATACTCTGCTGTTAAAGTTAAATCACAATTATATGTATCAGGTACAAGGGCAGTTAGGTTTGTATGAATTAAAATGGGTTGATTTTGTAGTGTGGACACGGAAGGGCTTTAATGTCCAAAGGATTAAGTTTGATGTAAATATGTGGGCTGAAATGCTTGTAAAACTAAGGAAATTTTATGTTACTTGTGTGATTCCTGAACTTTTCACTCGACGTATCAAAAAGGGCAAACCGCTTTACTGTTGCTAGGTATGCAGAAATTGAGAAAAGTATATAAATACTTATTTCAGTTTAATTATTTCCTTAATAGTCATGCAGTATAACCCTCTATATCATTTCTTTAAGTAATGACTTCAACAGAACAGGTCTAACTTAACAAGCGTTCTGAAAGTATTGCATTAGCAATACTAGTCCCCTACCGGTAAGTGTTATCTGGTTACTGTATGATATTGAAAATGTCATAATTCAGTAAAAAAAATATTGAAGCAAAACGGAATGCAAACGATCTATAACTCATCAAAATACACTCCAGATCAAAAATAGCTCAATATCTTCAAGTATTTAGGAAAAAAGTGCAGAAAACCAAGTGGGTCAGACAGACGGACAAATGCAGATGAAACCTATAGTCACCGGTAGGGGACTAATAATGCATGTGTGCAAAAAACAAAACAAAAAAAATCCAATAAAAATACATTTATCAGATCCATGTGTATTATTTTGATATCAAAGCAATCTGTGTTGATTCAAGTTTGGTTATAACTCCTTGGGCTAGGATGGGGCCACAATATAGGATCAATATGTTTTATTAGAATAAAGAGGGAAAAACCTGTGACTCAGGTGAGCAAAGTGGCTTATACTCTTAGGCCTTGTATTAGCAGTTCAGGCAATAATACTTCATGTGAACTTTCGCATAACACTTGCATTTATTATGTCTTAGTCACTTGATATATTAGTACACTACTCTATATTATACAAGCGTTATTGATATTCAAATACTTGTACACATTGTACATACTATACTTTAAAATAATGGCATTTTTAGATACTCGCTTAACCCATGCAATTTGAAAATTGAATTAAAAGAGAATATTATAAATCTCAGATTTATTTGTTATAATTTCAATCCTTAACAATTTAACAAAATGAAACTGAATATTGTTTTATGTAAGCAGAGGTGGAAGCAGGTTAGTCAATGCTGTGCAGATAAAAATCATCTGTTCTGCCAAGTGTGCTTCTGATAATGGTAGAGTTCCACTCAAAATGCGATAGTTCTTGATTTGTTCCATTTTCATCTCGACTACAATACGGGCCGATGCAATGCCTTGGGTCTGAAAAAACTCTTGAGTGGTCATTTGTCTATGACCTGGTATACGTGGTGGTATATTTAAGCCAACATCTACAGGGAGAAGGTCTTCAACAGTGAAACCCTTATCTGCCATGATTACATCACCAGCAGATAATTTTGGCAAAAGAGAATCGTGCATTGTTATATGACGGTCAGATGTGTTGCCCCCCCACAGTCTGGAAACAAACGTAACTAGTCCATTTGGTGCTACCCCTATCAAAATTTTAAATGTATTCGAATGTTTGTATTCAGACCAGGTGGCCCACTGAGCACTAAGTGATGATGGTTTTTCAGTGTAGAACTCGGTACAATCAAGAATTATCCGTACGTCAGGATAGTCTTGAAATGCTTGTGGTAGATTACATAAAATTTGTTCTCTTGTAGGCCAACAGACAAGTGACCTGCAATGATCATAAATGAAATTTATCCATGTGTTCATAATACGGGACACTGAAGACATTGAGACTCTGAATAAGTCTGCTAGATGCTCTTGCAGCATTCCTTGTCTTAATCGCATACACACCATCAGAAACTCATCTACAGGTCTAAGTTTTCTCTGTCTACCAGGTTTAGCACTATTTTTAACATGGTAATTTTTTTCACCAAGAGATCTTGTGTTTCCTTCCCAATAACTAAGACGGTCAGCACCATGTTTCATCAGAGTTGAGAAGAATAACCAAAACATGGAAGATGATAAGAACCCTGTATAAAATCTTATTTTGTTATCATCATGTCTAATATCTTCATATGACATGAAAAGAAGCTTCGACTCCACACTACATTCTTTTACGTCAGTAACTTGTGGTTCTCCAGCTTGAGTGGAGACATGTTGCAGGCAAACATTTTCATTGTCCTGTGGATTTATATTCTCATTGCTGTCACTAGTTAAAGTCACAATATGCGATTCATCTTCCTGTGAAAGGTTAGAACCCAGGGAAGCTGAATCCTCACCATCTGTAACATTCTTTTCATAGTTATAAGAACAGTTCAAATCATGTTTTACAAGGGGACGTCTAGTATTTTGTGGCTTTTGTTCCTTAGAAGGGAAAATTGTGGGAACTGAATGTTCAGTGTAAGGTTCTTCAAAATGTCTAGAACAAATTCTCGTGTTGTCATTAACTTTAAAATTTGCACGAATATTTTTAACTCTTGAAATCCACATAGCTCTTATCTTCTTTCTTTTCTCACCAATTGGGAAACGTCTCATAAATATTTTGTTTCCATTTTCATCTAGACTGTCTGACGTACTGTGGCATAATGGCACACAGCAATACTTTTTCCCCATCTAGTAAAAAATATAAATATCGCATGAACTCAAAAGGATTATTACTCAAAACAAATTGATGTAAAGTTAAAAACAGTTATAAAGTGTTTGTCAAACTGTAAGAAAAGAAGCAACAACAATATGCACAGTGTAAACCGTGTCACGGAAATCGTGATGGACGGGTATAGACTACATGTACATGCATGACATTTCATGATTTTTTTTTACTTATTTCCTACAAATATGCAAACAGAAATAAAATCATAACTATCCATTTTAATATAAAATCAAATTTCCCAAGAAATATACTTGTGATTATAGCATTTTTCATGTGTTAAGCTCGAGTGATTTGTTTGTATTTCTTAAGATTGCGAATTTCCTCGATGTTTTACTCGATAAATATACGTGATTGAAAATGTTATCAATGCCAACCAAAACATAGATATCAATATTTTCATTGTAAAATTCGTCTTTAATAATTTTAGACAAAAAACTTCATTTAATACTTACATTCTTGATGAAAATTTACCAACGGCGACTGTAAGTGTAGATTAGAGTTCTACGAGTCGGGTACTACCCGGAAGTGACCTTCGATTTACGCGCCACCTATCGGTTCAGTTCGAGACAACTCTAATAAGTTTGCATATCGGAAGCAAGCAATTTTTCTAAGGGGTAAAAATCAAACATCCTATATTGAAGTAGATACATGTACATGTAAGCTAATATTCACACCTTTATACAATATAATTTCTTAATATCCAGAAAACATTTTGTCTTTCCATATAGAGTGTCTTTAACTGATACACTGACAGAGATATTGTATGTGGGCACGTTAATTTGTGAGTAAGGATGACCCATGAATATTAGTTTCCCACAAACAATGATACTTTCACAGTACTTCATACCTTTCATCATCTGTGTCTGTACCTAAAATTATAGAAAATCAAATTATTTAAATTTTGGAAAATGAGTAGATTTTTGGAAGAATAAACAGTAAAGCACACATTATAAAGAAAATTCCATTTTTTCTCTTGTTCCATATAGTGCTTCAAACTTTGAAAACTACTGGTTACATTATTTGATAGACACACAGTGCCAGTACAGCTAATGATTGAGAGATACATCAATGTATTTCAATACTAGATCAACTATTTACCTTTTCTGGCACTTCTGCTCTTTGCATCAGATGTAACCTGACAAGACAAAGAAAAATATTTATTTAGAAATACAGTGAAAAAAGTACTGACTTGGATCTCCCTCTACCTTACATTTTGAAAAACTCAATTAGTTTTCTCAATATAGCAAAGAGTGTGTTCATGGCACTCAAGGTATTCTGCTTACATACTGCCCATGACGCCTTTGGCGTATAGGGTAGTTACTTAGGTACCCTGCACTGAAGTTAAAATCTCTTGATGACGTACCTCAGAAGACTCGCCACTTTCCCTCTTAGTTTTTTTCGATAGAGATGAATTTATTTCATCTTCACCATCAGTGTCAAGAGTTCTCTTTCTTGAGGTCGTTCTGTAATAAAATCAGATTTTATGCAAATGTATTTGTGTATACAAATTAGGGCTGTCACGAGTACCCGAAATAACCGAGTTGTTCGGTTCGGTTCCGGTTCCATTTTTCCGGATTTCGGTTCGGGTCTGGTTTATATATTAGAGTCTGTTCAATACAAAAAATGGCATCGAAATCAAAGGAATGATGACGATAACAGTGATAAATAAACATCACAACTGAAATCTACTTCATTCCATGACAAAACACTTGTCACGGATGTATTAGATAATTATCAAAACGAGCAGGAATGGTCAGGTTGTTGCTAATAGTAGGCCATGTCACCGATGTCTAGACGTTCACATGCTTAAGACTTGTTTTCAATGTAAATTTAATGTAACAAATAAAGATTTTTCAAGTTAAATACATGAAATTAAGGTTTAAAATAGATGTAAATACCCGACCCGAAAAACCCGAAACTGAACCGAAAATTTACAGAACCGACCCGACCCGAAAAAATTTGGAACCGTGACAGCCCTAATACAAATGTATATAAATCTCTGCTACATATCTCTATCTCATCTCATTAGCTTTCAAACTTTTTCAATCCTTATGACTGTTGATTTCTTATGAAGTTTCAATTGTTACATATGTAAAAAAAAATCCTCTATTCAAAACACACTTGAACAAGAGTTTAAAATTCAAACTCTAACAGGAATCTAGAGTTCAAATTGTGTTCTTCATCAGACCAACAAGCAACATACCTTGCCCTGGGAGCAGGATTTTCTGGGACAGCAAAATGAGCATCAGCATCAGAGTTGACTGAGCTTTCTTTAGGTTTCCTCATCTTGGACCTAGTGGTCCTCGAGCCACTGGTCAGACTCCCATGACCCGAGTCGACCTCACTGGTCGTGTCTGACCCCGCAGCAGATGACACAGAGGCTCCATCCTGCTTCCTCTGCTTAGTCCTTGTGCTCTGCCTGACAGGCTTGGCAACTTCCATGCTCTCGTTCTCCAAAACTTTCCTGGTTTTCGTTCTTGTCCTTTTTGGAGGAAGAGTATCAGTTTCACTATCGGACTCGGACTTGACTTGAGTTTTGGGTTGATTTCTTTGCTTGGTGCGCTTGCTGGCTCGGGGAGGCTGTTTCTCCTCCTCTGTCTCCTCGCTCTCGTCGTCAGCCTGAGTGACGGAATCTGTCTTCTGTTTAGACTCAGCAGACGTTTTACATTCCTCGTCCTTGGAAAGCAACATCACCTCATCATCGTCAGACTCTCCTCCATTTGCATCCGAGGATAAATTCTTCCTTTCACTCTCTTTGTTTTCTACATTTTCCACAACCTGTTGTTGGTCTTTGGTACTCTCACTCTCTTTAATATCTACAGATGGGACATTTTCACACTCTTCCATACATATATCCTCTTCTTGATCACCTTTTTCTTCTCCGACTTTCTCAGACTCCTGATGTGAACTAGATAAAGGTTCCTCTGCAGTGCTGTGCATTGAGACATCCTCTTCCTCACCTGCCAATTGTTCATTCTCCTTTTCGTTAGGTTCTTGAATAACTTCCCTCGATTCCATTGGTTCATCTACCTGAACCTGCTCATGTATACTTTCTTTCATTTCTTGTTCATGTTTACTCTCCACTTGATTTTCTGGTTCATTGTCAGTGTTCATAGCAGTCTGAACTGACTCTACACAATTCACTGCTGAATTTTCTTTCTCTGACTCTAGTTTTCTTTCATTAGAATTCTCATGGGCTAAAGACTCTACAGTATCTTTCTCACTGTGGCTTGTTCCTTCATCATCCTACAAAGAGATACTACATGTAATACAGCATTTTAACAATGGTAATCAATCTCCACATTTGTAGTGAGGTCTTGGTGTTTATTGAATGTAATGAATGTAATTCAACACAGTCAAAATTGAACATGAAGATTGCCAATGATATAGTGAATGCTAATATCAAACACACATGAAGCCCCCCCCCCCTTTTTTTTTTTACAAGGAGGACATGAAACAGGGTTCAACACCAACTTTTCATAGTTGCCCACAGGGCTAGCAATTTTTAATTTCTATTAGCCCTGTTAATAAATTCAGAGGCTGCTGGCTGAGTAGCAAAGTGACGAGGGGTGGGGGTTTGGGGTACATGTAGGTGCAGAAGGGGGTTTCCCCCTTTCGATATCCCGCTTGTTGGGGCTACAAAGGAAATTTTGAAAAGTGACGAGGGGTGGGGGTTGGGGGTACATGTAGATGCGGAAGGGGGTTTCCCCCTTTCGATATTCCGCTTGTTGGGGCTACAAAGGAAATTTTGAAAATAAAGCCAAATCCTGCATTACTGCAAAATTAAGTCACTTTATAAATGTACATGCAGGTAAAGATATTTTTCATTATTGTAATTTGATAGACCACACTTTTCAAGGTTTATTTATCATCTACACCAATGGGTTTAGCTGTCAGTGCATTGCTTTTATTCTCTGTTTCTACATCATAGTTTCAAACACTTAGGTGATAAGATTTTTTATAGAATTTTGATAGGTCAAGCCAAAACAAAATGTCGGGCAATAGAAAAATCAACAGTCCAACTTATTTAAAGGCAATTGAAAAGTTATTCCTTAAACCTCGCTATTTTTATATTAATCTTTACAATTGCTTAAAGAGAGGGTGGGCTGCTTCTGAAATTTTAGTAGCCCCGCAGGATAAGCTTGATGACTTGTTTAGAAGCCCGCTCTAAATTTTCAGTTGTCCTGGGCTAGCAAGCTACCGTTAGTGTTGAACCCTGTAATACTGTAAATTATACAACTGGTCAGTATTTTAAATGAAAGGACAGATTAATTCATAGGACTGTAATTTCTTCAACTGTTCTGAACATTGATAGAGGACTTGTATTTCTTCCTAAGGTTTGATGATGACCCTTTTTACCTGTTTATCTTTTTGGGTCTTTTTCTTAAGCTTCAGTTTGTTCTTTTTTCCTGGAGTCTGTAAGTAAAAAAAAAACCCTGCTAATCTTGATAGGCATAATTCCCTGTCAGACTCTGTTTCCAAGCAATAAATAACAAAAAAGAATTGACAGATCTGCTGTTCTATTCACCAAAATTGAAACTCCTTATTTTTTTTAGCAATTTTTCCATGCAACAGTAAAACAAAACACAAGGATTGATACTGATATAAAATTTGCTGTTCTATTCACCAAAATTTACCTCTTTATTTTCCGCTGTATGTAGAAGTTTTGGGTTCATGTGTATTTTACTACTCTTCAGTAAACTCTTTCTACTGGCAGATGTTGACATCAGGGGTTTATGTACACTCAACCTTTTACCAAGAGAAACTGCTTCTGGTGTCTCAAGACAAGTTTCTTCGGAGTTGGACATAGTTTCGGTTTGTTCCGGTGTTTCTGGCACAGAACTCTGGTTCACAGCTTGTCCATGTCTTAAAGATGGGCTGTTTTGCTCTATGTATTCTTCATATGCATGAACTTTGTTTTTAACATGACCTTTACCCGGTTTTCCTACTGGAGGGCTAAAAACATGTGACTCAGAATTCTGAGATTTAGAAGTCCCTCCTTTTAAAAGTATATTAGGTGTTAAGTTATCACATTTGGTTGAACTGTTGAAGTTTAGAACAGGTGTTTTCTTATCTTCTGAGGACTGTACTTCATTGATCAGGTCTTCACTCTCTGAATATTTGGCCTGCTTCTTTGCTGCAGTGTTGCGTGTTACTCTCTTTGTTTGAGCTGTCCTCGACGCCGCTCTGGTACGGTAGGCACGCTGTGGGGGTGTTTCATAAGCAAGAATGTTAGCATCCGTATCACAAGCAATTGGCACACTGAAAATAAAATCGACATTTTTTATTATCCAATTGAAACTGATATATAATCACCCATCCAATCAAAATGTATACAATTCCAAAGAGACTGACATCTGACTGCTATAACTCCCCCCTTTAAAACATTTTGAAAATTTTATGGGAGAACAAATATTTCATACTGTTCAACCAAAGAGCAGTTGGCTTCTCTTGTCAGACATCTTTAGTCAAATCAATATATAGGTATATATCCCAGACAGAGATACTTTATGCAAACAACTTTTTAAAAAAATATATTGAACAAAACATTAATAAACCAATCATAAGAGGTTGTGTAGTTTGCAAAAACATACTCTTTAGATAATGATTCCTATTTCAGAATGATCATGATAATTTGTATTGTCTGAAATACTTTTTTCCTTCAAACTGACTTTAATATTCATATGTCATGTTTTTTAACTCATTAACCTTTCTGTAGGATCCTCAGAAGTATCTTTTTCTTCAGCTTCTTCAATAACCGTTTCCTTCCTTATCCGTCCTCTCTTCCGCTTAGCAGAAGGTGTCTTTGGCAGTAACTTGATCTTGCTGACAGGGCTATGAACAAAAGAAATTTACAGTTGAAATTCATTATTTTGAAAATCTGCATCTCATATCAGAATAGGTTGAAGTGACTTTGAAGTTTTCTTTTTGTATTTTAACCTCAGTATCACAAATCCTTGGATATCTCTTGAGGTTTTTTTCACCTCTCTGCTCCATTAATTTGGAGATAACAGTCTTTGAGTGTAATGTACTGGAATGTCTAAGAGCTCTTTAAGGCAAAGTAAAGATGCTAGAGTAGCTCCAAATGCTCCCCATATATTTCTTGCATTGAACAGGGATCAACATAAGTGTTAGTCCATTAGTCTGAGACTAATACTTTTTCATTTGGACTTATAAAATCTGTGGCAAATTAGTCTGAATAATTCCTGGTAAACTACATGAATAAATTACCAAAGTCTCATTCTCCTCAACTTTTACTGGAAAACCCCAAATGTATTTTTAGCTTTCTGTACAGATAATTTTTGAGGGACTATTAAAAAGGCCTGCAGACTTGTTAAAGTAAAGCAGCACTAGTCTGGCTGGACAAATGCCTCAGAAAAGTTTGTGTAAAATCTCTGAACTGGGTTGACACTGAATAATCAATTATTTATGCCTATAACATGACATGATAATAAATTGCCTTATTAATTACCTTGAAAACTCTCGTTTAACTTCTTCCAGCAGTTCATCTGCCCATTTGTATTCTTCCTCAAACATTTTGACCACATCTTCCTTGATAATTTGATGAATTCTTGTGAAGGAGGTGACAAACAATTTTCCAATAACATTTTCAATCTTTTCATCCACCATTCCCATGGGGACTTTTGTGGCATTCTTCTTATTTTTCTTAAGTTTGGGCATCTGAAATAATCATGAAAATTATCGTACTGTTTGGTTTTCATTCTTTCTTTTATTATTATTTATAGTGCTGATTTATTTTTAATGGCTAAATCAATAAAAAAAGTTTTCAATGCACCATAGTAGAATACATCTTCAGGTTTTGAAGTTGATCATGTTGTAAAAACGACATCACCTTATGAACTGCTACATACCGTAAATTACTTTTTATTCATGAGAAGTTCATTTTCGCACAATTAAGCGAGAAGGTCCTGGTGTGCTCACGAAAATTTCATTCTCGCATAAATTTTTGTTACTTAAGTATAGATTTTATACGACAATAACTCTTTTATAAATACAAAATACCCATCTAGTGAAAATAACTTTAAAACTTTGTTATTATTAAATCTTATTTTCAGTACAACTTTGTTGTTTTAAAAATTCAATGTGCAGCACATTCACTCCATTCTGCAAGTAATTTGCAGCTAAATGGGTCATATTGAAATTGCATTGACATTGTTCTAAGCATTCTGGCACTATTCAACTATAAAAAGAATTATCTTCAGACAAATATAATTGTCTTGTAGTTTGAACAGTTACATTGAACTTATCAATACATTGGATTTAAACATGTTTAAAAAGTTTTATTATATATTGACATGGCACAATTCATTATTTCTGCATCCTCATCAACAAGCTGCACAAGAGCAACGATGTAAATTATACTTGTATGACATTATTTTGGGTAAATATAAACATCAACTGACATGAATCAAAATGAGTGAATCGATGACATGTGAACGCCGCGCCATCCCTATAACGAGTAGTTTATTTGCTTGGGACTATTATAGACACCGAATCGAATTATCAAGAAATATAATAATGGTTTATTATTGTTTCAAATGGCATCAAATAAATCACCAATGAAAATAAAAGACATAAGACTACTTACTGTTCCCTCCCAGTGAATCCCACTTTCAAAATATACGAAATTTTACCTCCAAATTATCAGCCAATGAAAATTGACTTCCGGATAAACCAAACAATTATATTCCGGACAAAACCGGAAAATGCATGTTAATCCTGTGGCCTCAATCCACTGGCCTCTCTGGTGGATAAAAGAAACGAAACAGAAAAGAATGTAAAAAAAAAAATAATGAAAGATTTATTTTAATTTAAAACTAGAAAACAAATTTGAATGATTTATATGTTTCTAAATCCAGGTAGTTTCGCATTTGAAGGAAAATAATGCTACTTTTCATATCTGTTCTTCAAAAGTCAAAAGACGGGTCAAGAGTGTAATAAATAGCATTTTTTTTTAAGCTAGAAAAATTCGAAAATAAAATTCCTTATTTTTTCGGAATGTTTTTGTAAACAATAAAAAATGAGAGATCTTCCGAATGAATCACTTCCGCCATTTTGCATTTTGACATGTAAACATACAAAGTAAATATGTCCAGGGATTCAAATAATTACAGTCAAAGCTACAAGCTTGTCGTCGTTGGAGGCGGTGGCGTAGGAAAAAGTGCTCTTACAATTCAGTTTATACAGGTATGTGATTGGCAAAGAAACTAATTATTGTGACAAAGGCTAATTGACAAGCTCCTCATTAAATGGGTGGTGAATCACAGAGTGATTCATAAGGTTCTTATGTATATTTTCTTCAATATAATTCAGAATCAATATTGATTAAAGTTATATTCTGGTAAATTTCAATGGAAATGCATTTTTTAACCTACAAATATATGTTATCAATCTTATAAGATCTAAACTTGAAAGAAAGTATTTTTCATTAAATTATTGTGTGAACCTTAACTGCTGATTTTGTAACATGTTTTTCTATTATACATGTTTGCATGTTTATATGCACTTTTTTTTTTACATTCTTATAAATTTAGTTAAAACATATGCCTCATTAAGAAAAACTTGCATTAATATTACTGCTACTTTGTTCCCCACTAAATAATTTAGAAAGAGATCATGAATTCCAGAGGAAAGTTATTGGTACTTGGAATCATACCTGTAAATTAAGAAATTCTTATTTCAACACAATGTTGTTTATTTTTAATAATGATATCTAGCTTTGTCAATTCTAAATTCACTGAAGCCATCTGATGTCACTGCACAAACACTCTCATTTTAAATGTCAATCAATTTTGATGAGGATTGTTTAAATTTTAATTGACTTAGTTATATTCCAAATACTTGGGGGATAATTTACAATTTCTAAAGGTGCTGTGAATGTTACTGGGACCCTTCAAAGCTTTTTAACTTTTAACGGGGAAAAATGAAAGGAATGAAAATTACAAGTAAATTAGAATGTTCTCTCATGCACAAGATATTGTCCTTCAGATATTAATGTGTAAGTATCTGAATATATGCAGCTAAGTTCAAGGTGAATATCATGTTTTCTGTATTAATACTTTGCTCCATGAATGACTAATTAATTGAGCTTGCATCAGTCTATGACTGTTTGATTTCACAAGGACCTAATCAGCCATAAAATATATTCCAGATGCACATAAAAATAGTTTAGTGTTCATTGACAAAAAGATGGTTCATTTGATGCAGCTCTCCATATTCTGTTTTGATATATAACTTGCACACCATACAATATATTTTTTTTTCTTCATTAAATCAGTAAAATTTTATAATTGATATAGTGGAATGACATGATTTGATATTAAATGGAGGAGGAAAAACTATTATTAATCAATTCTTTTTTTTTTTAGCATTGTCACCATTTAAACACTGTTTTCTCAAATCCAAAAATACAGACTCATTCTTAGACTATTACATGCTAATAACTATTTTCTTTTTTCAGTCATATTTTGTAACAGATTATGACCCAACAATAGAGGATTCCTATACAAAACAATGTGTTATCGATGAAGTAGTGGCAAGACTTGATAGTAAGTAATTACACTTTCCCGGTGTAAAAATTTGCTATTACTACATGTACTTTGTAACAGGTTTTTTTTTTTTTTGGTAAGCTAAAAGTATGCAGTCATTGAGACTTGGAGGAAATCAACAACCGGCCTCTTCAACAAAGTTTTAATAAAACATGTTTAACTTGAAGTATCAACATATTGTTCTAATAAATACTGCACAGTTAAGTTCCGATGAAAGACAAAGTCTTTTGTAAATTTCACAGTGATACGGCTCTATGAAATATTGTTTGTATAACTCATACATTATAATATATTAAGAATTCTTAGGCAAAATCTTCATGCAACTGAGTTTATAAAAAAAAATCAGTCAAGCAAACAACTAATGCCACACCCCCTTCTTGGCACAGCTGTAGTTCTATGAAACATGGAATTATAACAGTCAGTCAGTGTACACAAGTGGTTTCTAAGTGATTTTCATAAATGACACAAAGCAAGGTTAAGTCTGAAGTGGCCACTAAGTACTCTTACCATATACACAGATGCATTTCCTACATCACCACAAATCAACATTTTTTTTGTGTAAGCAAAAGTTAGATATTTTTTCTCATAAACAGATAAAGTGTGGATGTACATTTCTGCAATATTTGAATGCAAAAGTAGACGGTGTAATTTTGAATTGGTTTTATTTTATGGTACTGGTTAGTGGTAGATTGAAGACAATTTGTATGCATATTGCAACCTGATTTTAAATATTGATTGATCCATTTGGGGTTTAATTTTTGGAAATGTTTAATTAGTGTAATCATTAGAATACTTGTTTCTTGGGTATTGTGCAAAAATTGAGGAGGGTGAGATGTGAGGGGGAATGTGGGTGCTCTTAAAAAAATTTAAATTCAATTTCTGAATATTTTATACTTAGAAATAGTCTTGAAACCACATGTATAATTGTTGGAGATATTACGTTTAATTATAAGTAAACCTAATCTAATATTAAGTCAGGATTCCATGAACAAACATTTTTATACTGCTGAGATTAATTTTGGGCAAAGATTAGCAACTTTTGGGGTCAGACTAGCAACTTTTAGGGCCGGAGTAGCAACTTGGTGGCAGACTAGCAACTTAGGGTCTTGGACTAGCAACTTTTGGGGCCTGGGCTTACTACTTTTGGGACCAGGGTACCAACTTTGGTGGCAGGCTAGCAACTATTCGGCCTGGGTTAGCTACTTTTCCCAAAGTTTTTAACTGTTACTCACACAACTCACAGTCAATTTTTTCACTCAGTGGTCTTTTATTATCTCAGCAGATAGTACAATGTACTAAAATCAGAGAGTGGTACCCCTTTAGCTGACTGCACTTTGCTTGTGACTCAATACAACTTAATATGGCAATTGCTGAATGCTATTTACTTGGACATATATACATGTATACTTAATATATACATCTTGTATATAGAGCTTTTCCTGTTATGACACATTTTTAAGATTGTTGTCTCTATGTGTACTGTATACAACTTCAAGTTTGATTTTTAAATATATAATGCAACAGTTTAAAGACACTCGACTGAGTAGCTTCCTTGTCTCTTGTGTTTATAGGAGTCAAATTTGAATAAATGCATTGTTTACACAAACTTGAACAAATATTAAGGAGGGGGTAACAATCATAAAAAAGTTCTTTCTTAAAATTTTGTGGATTTATGTTGTTCAAGTATACCAGATGTTGTTTGGTTTTTTTTTTTTTACCTCACTTATTTTTTCATTTGCATATGATAGTGTTTTTCTTTTCAATTTTTTTATTTTTAATTTAAAACAAAAAAAATTACCTTATTGAAATTGCAGTTGGTAAAATTATTTCTTTGTCATTTAATCCCTTTACCTTTAATTTATCAGATATGAGCTAGTATTAAAAAAGATTAATTTCCTGTGTTTTAATTCACTATTCACATATTGATATAATATTCTTTAAATAAAACAAACAAAAGTTAAAGGAATTTAAAACAAATATGCATGCAATTTATCAGGATATGACATATGTAAATATTTGCTAAAAGGAATTAAACAAACGTGCAAAAAATGTAATTATGATTCTGGTGAAATAAAGAGAATAAAAAATACTTCAGTGCAGCTTTTAATTTTAAATGCATATCTAATCCCATGAATCCTTGTAAAAATATCAAAGTGAATGTCACATACCTTTTGTTTGTGAATTATTAAAATTCTCCAGTCGTGTTTTTCCCTAGTCATGTTTTTTTAATGCAGAAACCATGAACAGGTCATATCATGGATATTAGTTTTAAGAATGCAAAGTTGTAGACAATGCATTGGAAATGCATTAGCATTTTCCTACTCAAGTATCAAATCAGCATTAACACAGAAATACAGCATTTCATGAAAAAGTTATAAATAATCCATATTAATATATAAAATTTTATTTTCAGTTTTGGACACAGCAGGACAAGAGGAGTTCTGCGCAATGAGGGAGCAGTATATGCGATCTGGGGAGGGGTTTTTACTAGTATACTCAGTCACAGACAGGGCAAGGTTTGTATCAGCACATTTGTCTACTTGGTCACTGGCAGGGTCAGGATTGTAGATTGTATCATACATGGGGTCAGAGTGTTAGGGGTGGGGGGTGGTGGAAATTAACTTCACCGATGGGGTAAGGTTTGTTTCAGTGCATTGCTCTTTAGGGAGGGGTTTTTATGGGTATATTCAGTCACTGACAGGACCAGATTGTATCAGTACATGGGATTTGTTCAGGGTTCTTTAGGTCTACTATTTAAAGACCAGGAGTGTTAATGCACTGATAAATTTTCAGTTTTCTGTCCATCATCCACAAACAAGTTTTCAATATGGTGCTTCTAAAACTTTCATTTTTGCTTGACTTGAAAATTTTTATTTATGTAGTCTGCATCAAGTAAATAAATTATATAATTATTTACGTCAATCATAATTTGTTAGAAGTTTAATTCAAGTGCTTCTACTCATGCAGTTTTTGTAATTTGAATTAAATGTATAAAATTATAAAGGCAGACAACAGTAAGACTGGAAGCACTTATTTTTAGGGCTTTAAAGTTTCCCTAAACATTAACCACTTCAAGGACAACCGGTACTAAGCTTGTGAAATTCATCAGTTAATAACATTATTTAATCACTATTCCATTGGCAAATAAAAAGTAAAAGTATAACAATGCTTGATGACCCTTATTAGTGTTAACTCATCATCTTATGGCTCCTTCTGTATTCTTCTGTCAAACTAATGCTTTAAGTTTCATTTTTTTTCTAAATAAGAATAAAACATTCTGGTGACATGACTCATACTCTATAGTAAACTAGTGCTCAAGAGCATCCTTTATCATTATACCCCCTGTTTGGAAAGAGGGGGGTATATAGTGATGGGGGTGTCCATCCATATGGCCTTCCATCCGTAACGCTTGGGGGTACCCATCTCTTATCCACAACTCCTCCTATACCACTGAATATAATTCAATGAGACTTTCTCAGAATCTTTATTACAAAGTACCTTTCTTCATGCTCAGTGCTCCACCTATTTTACATTTCATTTACTAATAGACAGATATTTGGAGATTCCCATAGAAAAACATAGACATTGCCATTCTTTTTATAACATTGGGGGTAGCCATCTCTTATCCACAACTCCTCCTATACCACTGATTGAAATTTCATGACACTTTCACGGAATCTTTGTTACATAGTGCCATTGTACATCTCCTATTTTACCTTGTGATCAGACAGGACCGGTATTTGGGATTTCCCATAGCAAAACAGGACTTTGCCATTAAATTCATATGAGACCAGGGTTTATCATTTTGTGAGCTCAATACTCGCAGTACCTCTAGTTTTCTTTTTGAGAAAAGGGTATTTTTAGATACACAAAGACACAATTCTCCTCAGACATGAAGGATTAGAGGGCAACCATGAGTATATTGTATGAAAAGCGTACAAAGAGATAAAGAAAAAAAAATGAAAGTAGATTGTCATGAGAAGAATATCACATGTTGTTGGACTGTTGAACATTAGATCTTGTCTGAAGTACACTTACATCAAGGTCATTTGAGCAAACAGAGAAAGGCTTGATACATTTGTTTGTTCAGCTTATATAGGTTGACAAAGATTGCGTAGTGTTGAGATCACTGGCAGATTTAGAGGGGGGCCCAGGGGGTCAGCCCCCCCTTTTGTGTCCAAAATATACATAAGATTTAATAAATCAATTTTTGGAGGGTGTGGCCGTGGGCCCTACCCTGACCCCAAACTGGTTGGGCCCCCTTTTCAAGATTCCTGGATCCGCCACTGGAGATTGGTAGAAGGGGGGGGGGGGGGGAATCATGGAAATATGATAATTTTTAAATTATTGATCCGTGACATATGACATTGCATCCCATTTGATTTTATTATGAGATGTAGCAAAAACATTTCAACATGTGCATACAAGTCCATCATTTTATAACCATTATCAAAAGCTGTCACAATTGAAAAAAAATAATATAGAATTTGAAACTGCTTAACAGTTAGGGAAGTAGATGGTTCCCCGTACTTACGGTTTGATTGAAAATTAAAGATGTGACAACACAGCACTGGCACAACAATTACACAACTGTCACATGTTAAATGTACCATGCATTGTTGGTGCGGTACAAAACATTATCCCTTGCATGTGGGTATGAGAAGATGCATTTCATTTTCTTCACACATTTTATAGAAAGCCATAACAAAGTTCTGTCTCATTAGGCACTTGACGGCAACCATCCTATTAATCTAAGACTACAATGGTAGAGGTTGTACATACTAATTTTTTAGTTTTTCCTGAATGTGATGAAATAACATTTAAGTTACCAGTACATATAAAGGCTTATTACTTCGTCTGAGCATACTGTAAACATATTTTTTCCAGGGGTCATAATTCCACAGAATTGCAATTTCTGTTAAATCTGCAGGTAGAAAATTTGGCAGATTTCTTGGATTGCTTTTTTATGTCTTAAATGTACCTAATTAAGGTACACTGTGACAAATTTCTGCAGAAAATTTATGATGGTGGACATAGCATATTAAATTAATCCTATGCCGAAAAAATGTACATAATCACTATACAATAGTTGTGTGAGTTTTTGTTCTCTGTATATGGCTTATTATCCTCCCCTGTTCCTCCCCTGCTGTCGTTTTTCCTACCTCTACCTTCTTTTTCTCCCCCTTCCATCTTTGCTTCCTTTGCTTTCCTCCCCTCCTCTTATGGCTGTAACCCCCTTTTTCCTCCAGTTCTTGGGGGAGGGGGTGTTTAAAGGTTAAATTCTGTTCACTTTAAAATGGTTTACTATACATTATTTTGAATTCCATATTGCATGTGACATTGACCAGTCAAACTTGCCGTTTCTATGGTAGGGTGTTAAGAGCAAAAAGCTAGCTTAACATTTTTCAAGTCAAGGATCTTTACATTGTTGCAAGCTATGTGTTTTGTGTCCAATTTAATTCCAAAAACAAGGATGGACACAAAACCTGTGATTTGCAATGATGGGATCTTTAGTACATATAGTTTGTAATGTATGCGTGTAACATGGGGATATCAACTTTTTCAGTGCCTTTGCCTTTTATAATTCACCCATTAATCAACAAATTTTTGAAGTTTTGTCTTTGTTCTAAGTTTTATTGTCCTATCCTGTGAAAAAAAATGTATAATATTCATTTACTCTCTCTGTTTTATTTCAGTTTTAATGAAGCATACAAATTCCACAAACAGATTTTACGAGTGAAAGACAGAGAAGAATTTCCAATGATACTGGTAGCCAACAAGGCAGATCTAGAGCATGCACGGGTGGTTAGTAGTCGTCTATTTTCTCATCTCTTGGGTAGCTGTGGTAATGGAGCTAGCTAAGGTTTTATTCTTATTACATGTGTTATGGATGAATGGCTGAATTATGGTACAGCCTTGTTTTAAAGCTTAACATAGTGCCAATTTGTGACATAAAGATTTGGTTTAGAGGCATGACATTCTAGGTAGAACTTAAGGCCATGTATGGTGACATGAAATGTCATTATCAGTATATTTTATGTAGGGTTATTTAACTTATGGAAAGATCATAATCAGTTACAATTTTTAGAACCAGTTTGTCAATATTTTTTGCAGTGTACATACTTTTTAAATAATATTTTTAAAAAAACCCACAAAGGTTGCATGTTTAATTATTAAATGAGATGCTGCAATCGACCAGTTAAATACAAGTCATTTAACCCTAAATACTAATCAAGGTTTATGTACCCCCCCCCCCCCCTCATAAAAAATTCCGCCTATTTTTTTTGTGTGTTTGTTTTAATTGATGCATTAAAAACAACAATTTATTTTCTGTTCAGCAATGTTTTGCATGGTAATTGATCTCACTCATTGCGACACTTTTATTCAGTAAAATGCCACCAATCACCATCGACAGCTTGGCGATATTTTCAGAGAGACTGGGACTAAAATATAGTACTAGAACTCCAGACCAAACAATCTCTACACTTCCTTATCTTTTTCTTAACACCCAACAATTAAAAAAAAAAACAGAGTCCAAGGCCAATAATTATGTAGCAACCCCCCATCCCCTTCAGTGGTGACAGGATATTAAATAGCGCAAAATTCCCACAACTTTTCTAATCCTCAAGAAAGTATCTTGCAGTCAGTCCCATGAACATCTGTGTGGACATGGAAATTTTATAATCATTATTTCTCTTTTTTGGGTGAATAAGTTGTAAAGTCTCCATTCATCATCAGTGGTTCATAAAATCATTTGAAAAAAAAAATAAGAATTACAGTGAAGCAAATTTGATGTGAATAAAAACATGGTTTAACTCTTGATTGCAATAAATAAAAAAAAATAAATTAATGCTCTTGTTTATCTTTTTCTATTTTTGTTAGAAAGCAAAATATTCTGATTATCATAGTTTAGCTTTTTTTTAAACAAATTGTTTTATAATATACTGAATATACTGAAATTATAATGTAATGACTTTTTCAAAATACATGTAGTACTTCCCTCTGTCATATATCTCTTCAGAGGAATGATATGAGAATCTAACCTTCAAAACTATGTGTTCATAAAAAATGATATTAGTTTTGTTAGGTCAATACATTCATTTATCTACCCACACAGAATCACAGTAACCTTATCCTTTTGGGTTATAAGTATGTACAATACATGAAATCACTAATTTTTGGATGGAGAGACCCACAAATTCATGCCCCCCACAAAATGTAAATAGTACATACATACAGCAACTCAACACTCCTTCATCCACGAAATTCAACCCCCAAGAACCTATAATTTTTCCTCAAAGCACAGAAATTTGACCCTTCCAAAATAAGTGACTTTACAGTATTGTCATTTTCTGGTAGATACAATAAATAATTGTAATGTCCTTAAACATGTCAGTTTTTGTACATTGAGTAGGGCTGTGCAGTAATATCAATATTCTGGTATATTATGATTCGTTGACAAAAATATGAAATTTGCAATGTCAAAAACATTTTCAATGGTGCCAAACAGTGAGGGTGCTGTTGTATAGTTGCATTTCATTGCAAAACTGTAGTGAAATCAACAAGAACTTTTTTGTTCTAACAAATTTATAATAGTTATATACACTCTGCTTATAAATGGAGGTTAATAAAATAAGAAAAGATCATTTAAACTGTTATTAAAAATACTGCAATACATATCGCAATACAGATGAAAATATCGCAATATATTGCAATACAAAATTCCCAGCTGATACCCAGCCCTAACATTGTGTATGTGTGCATGTATCTGTAAGGTACATCATTATGGACAAAGTATCAGGTGGTCTCTGTGAGTACTGAAATAAGTAAGATCAAACCTCATTATCTCTAATTTCATGGAACTGAACATTCATTTGAAAGACCCTCTATCATTGAAAAGATTTCATAAAGAACTTTTGAATGCTACACAAAAAGAGTAAGTGTTGTTTACAGACTTGTTTTACATTTTCTTTGTAGGTTACAAGAGAAGAGGGCCAGGAGTTCGCTGCTCAGTTAAAGATTAGTTATATTGAAGCCAGTGCCAAAGTGCGGATGAATGTAGACAAAGCTTTTTATGATCTGGTTAGAATTATAAGGTATGCTAAGAAATCTCACTATAAATGGAACAGGGTTTGCTGGAATACTGTATAAAAATGTTGATCATTGCTATTCATTGAGTTTTCAGTCTCCATTTTTTGGGAGAGTCACATGAGAAAAATTAGTTGTTCATGTAGATGTTTAGAGTCTCATGAGATTTTTCATAACTGATCTATAATTAGCCTTTGGGCTCAGTTAGATGTGATTGTTTTCATTGCAGGAGATTCCAAGCGAATGAAAGTCCACCAGTCAAACCTCCTAAACGAAATAGAAAGTGCACCATTTTATGATGGCATGTAGACTCTTTACTCAATTTTTTTTTTTATCTTGACAAGTTATACCCACCAGATGTAACACAAGAGAATCGAAAGCTTTGTTGTGTATCATACATGTGAAGTCAGCCTCATTCTGGTGATGACAATCCAAGTCTTGGTCGTCTGAGTGTTTGAAAGCTGCATTCTCCTCTATGTTGTGGTCAAGCTTCAAGCAAGAGTCAATACTCTGTAGATTTATGTGCATCATGCTCACAACATTGTTATACACAAAGTATATGTATGTAATGTCATTGAAGAAGGAAAAGTTTACTGTGAATTGTTTAATTTTTGTAAATGAATAGAAAATGTAACTTCTTTCATTATATGGATTTTTTTATAAAGATGTTATATTAACATAAAAGAATTGAAAAGTCAAATCTTCATATATACAGTCAAACCTGTGATATTTTACTTCTATAGAGAAAATATTAAAGGGTGGTATAGAATAGATATTGTCTTAATACAGGTAACCATGATTGAAGTTATAAGATATGAATGAGAAAAGTTTGTTTTGTTTTTATTATTATTAAAATTCTAGAAATGCAGAGTGAATTCAAATGAATTGGCTTCAGATATTTGAAATAACAATAAAGTTTGAATCAACAAATTTTTATTAAATACAATGGAGACGACATGAAGAAAACTCATTATAATCAGATAAACATTTTATGGCATTAAGAAGAAAAAAAGTTAAATGATGACCAAAAGTCATGGCAGAAAATCTTGGGTAGGAATTTTTTTTCATATTTAATAGAGAATTGTATAGTACAGTGTGACTATACAGCAGGTTTGACTGTTAACATATTTATTTGTCCAAAAAAAAGTTCAGTAGTTACCTCCATTAGTACCTCAGTTTAATCAAGATTAATGTTTATTTCAGCTTTAAAAGTTGCATTATATTCGTGTACATAACTTATTTGCTTTTAAACATAATTATGGAAAATTTTGAATGTATGTGTAATCCTGTTAAGAAAGTAACAAAAAAAATTACTTATTTCTTATGAAACCCTTTGTAGAATTAAGAGTAGAAAAAACAAATATATTTCCTTTTGCAGTTTGAGGAAACTTTTTTACAATTATTTTGCCATCATGCATTCCATAAATTTGATCTTTTTTGTATACAATGTTATATTTTTAATTAGCCTGTATATTATATTCACATTTTTCAAAATTAAGTAAACATATTTATTTACTTTGTATTTACAGTAGCTTTCATGAAAAAAATATATAACAAGCATACTTGTTTAGCTTAGATAAAAACTGTAGAGGAATTAAAGCCGTTCAACCTGGCATTTTCCATTTTGCTACATAAAAATTGATTAATTTTTACATATTGCAGAGTCCCAATAATTTTAAAGGCTCCTGCAAATCACCCTAAAAAAGTAATTAAATTTACTGATGGACGAAGATGCCACAATCTAAATATATTAAAAATGTAACACCCCCCCCCCCCCATCCCCATGCAGTATGTACAAAGCTGGTTGTAGTGTGTAATTGCAGAGATCCATATATTGGGAAATTGTAGTTTTTACTTCCCTTATTTCTTCAAAGTTTTACTTCTTTTTACAAATCTTATATAATTTAAAGATTTTATTTTTCTTGTATTTAGGGAAAGATTTAATATTTTTGCTTGGCTCATGTGGCATTAGACTGACTAAAGTGTAATTGAAAAAATGGGGAGGGATATATACAATTTTGACATATATTTTGAATATATATTTGGAACATCTTTATTTTGGTATTTGAACACAAAAGTAACACCACTTATCCATAGAGTTTCTGTATTAGGCATATACATTTTACATGTAATTAGTTTTAATTGCATACATGTAACTGAAGTAAAGTAGAATTTTAAGAATAGTAGTAGAACTTAAAACTAAAGAAATTAATGAAAATTTGAATTATAATTATGAATTAATTCATGCAACACTCTGTGTTATAGTATTGTTTATTTGAATAAGAGAGGACATGTGCCGTCTTGTTTTTTGAGCTAATCGGAATAGTGCTAATGGCTTGTACATATGCTTTATTTGCATTCTCATGCTTTTTACATTAATTTTATATATTACTGTAAGACTATCTCTTCATCATCAGCAATTATACAACTGTTCCTGCAAGAATGTTCACATTTTAAATCCTATTCTTTCTACTTTTTATGCCTATTATGAGCAACATCTTAAGCTTTGAATTAGTTCTCACAAAGTAAGCATATACATGCATATGTTGTATTTACCAAAGATTTATTTACTAGATAATTTATATAGAATAGAAATTGACAAGTTTGAGGTAAAAAATGGGTAAAGTAATATTATATACTTGTAGTCTACTATTAAATTAGGGGTGAAACGAAACACCTCCTTCACGGTTCGATACGTATTGTGTAATTTTGTCTCGGTACGGTTATTTTCGATACGATACATTTTGATGGAAGGAAACAAATTCAACCTTGTTTTATGCTTTCTTTTACTTAATCCAGTCACTTAATTTACAAATTTTTATTTGCAAATTGACTAGAAGAAATTGATCAGAATTATTTAACTGTCAAAAATTATTTTACAAACTATCAGTCATCAAATTTTTACGTTTTCTATACTTATTTATACTCAGTAACATGTTTTACCTTATGCCAAACCCGACCGAATAACGATCCTGACTGAAAAATGAACCGAACCGAAAATTAGAGATTTTGCACCGTGTATCAAACCGAGAAAAAATACCGTGGTGAATCGATACCGCGGTGAACTGTTTCACTCCTATATTAAATCTGTCCCATAACTTAACAGAAGATATAATATCCAAAGATTTCCAATGTTTCAAAATTAGCTACTTTTTAATGGAAGATGGCCTTTTGCTTTGTAAAATGGAATTTATTTTCTAAAATTATGGCTATTTTCTAAGTGATGATGGAAGTTAAAAAAAAAGAAATACAGTAGAAGCAAATTTATGAATCCATATGGAGCAAAATTTTAGACAAATTTATCGCTAGAAGTGAAAATTTTATTAAGGATCATCTTCTTCTGTTCACTCATGTAAAACTTTGTTTAATGACAATGATTTTCATCCCATTCAAAACATTAATTATAATTGAAATGCGAACATTTTCAGTATACCTTGCTGTGCAAAATTCAACAGAGTTAAATCACTTTAGATAATTTTTTAAGGGGATTAAAGACATTAAAAACAGTGAGAGTTATCTCTCTTGTCAGAGGGTCAATGAACCTTAAGGAAACAATCTCTTAGCAAAGGGACATCACTCCTTAAAAAAAGGCATTTAGAGCTTGCTAATTTTTTCTTTTATTTTTTAATGAAAAACTTTAATCCATCTTGCAAACAGTTTTATGCTGTATAAAGCAATGAAAAAAGCTGTATCTTGTGTTTTATTTAAAGAAATTTGTGATAGGTCATGTAAATATAATGATGAGGTGTAATAACTAGTTAGAATATTTATTATTAGTCAGCTTCCATTTGTTTCTAATATATTCAAACTATTTAGAGGATAGCGAACAAACTAGTCAATCTGTTGATTTTCTATTTTCATTTTTTCTTTGTTTTATTTATGATTATCTTTGATTCATATTAAACTTTGTTAACTTATTATAGAACTTTTTTTCAATCTTTGTTTTTTCTTTCTTCTCTGTGTTATGTATGACTTTCTATATCCAGATTTTAAATGTTGATTGTATTTTCTCCTTATTTTTATGTGCATTTTTTTGTTTGTAAGTCATCTTGTTTTGATATATTAATATTTATATAATAACTAGCCTCTCTTAGCTTAAAAGCTTATTTCATCCTAATGTTTTTTTATTTTTGGCAGTCATAATACCAAAATATAAATGCATCTATCATGCATTTAAAATGGTATAGTAATCAGAATATTAAATTGATTTTTAATTAACAATACTGTGGAATATTCTTAATTTGTGGGGGATCACTGTTCATGGTCAATCAAAATTTTGATGGTTTATTGGATGTTATTTTAAGGTAACTCATATATACATGTACAGAAGATTCAATGAACCGACACATATTAATAATTATGATTCATTTGGTAAGGGTGACCATCAAAATCAACAAAGACTGACCTCGCAAAAACAATGATGACTTCATAGTTTGTTGTAATTTAACAGTTACTGGAAAAGTTGATAGTCCAAAATTTCAAATCATAACATGCACTTATGGCTGGTCATCAAATCTTTCAACTTTAACAAATAGCAAACAGATGACAACTTTGATTGAAATTTTTTGTAAATTTTGACTTAATCATTGTAGAACCTTTTTTTTTACTATGCAATCAGAAGATATTATGAAGCAATGTTTATAAAATCTAAATACTTTGTCCTTAAATTAAAGTTTATAAATGAATTTAACAAACAAGTTTATTTTAGTAATGAAGATTATTTTTATTGTAAAAGTTCAGTTTATTTTCAGTTTTTGTGTATAATATTTATTGTGTCTTGTTTTGCACTTGTTAAAATTATTTTTTAAATCACTAGTAGTAATGTCCTACATTTGAAATGTTAGTGTTTATTTAACTTTATTTTCATATCTCCAATTTTCCAGTATTTCAAAGTTATTCCAGAGGTCTCCCTGTGAAAAGAAAAATGCTCTTGGCAGTGTTATTTCAAGATTTATAGGACTATAATATGTTTTAAAAGTGAGTTCTTCTTTAACAAATTAATTCTTTCATGCCACATTTAGTAAGCTTCCATAAACATCAAAATGTCATGCAAGTTCTTTTATATTCTTAGTCTAGGTGTATTTATGTGCAAGTTTTCAGTTCAATATTCATGTTTATTTCAATTGACAATCATTTTTTCCCTGAGTATCAAAGTCACATTTCCTAGCAATTTTTTTCTGTAGGACATAAATGTACAGCAGTTTTGCTGCCATTTCTCTCTTTCACTTGAGAATGAAATAAAAAAAAAAATATCAGTTTACACATGTATGTGTATTACCATATTTTTCACTACTTGATAAAATTATATCTTTCTGCAACATTGTGTGTGCTAGAATTTACTTTTTAAACAGAACCACATTTGTCTCAAGCCAGACTGAACACAAAATACAATTCCAACAAAATGTCAATATTTTTGGAATTTTTTTTCTGCACGGGAGCATTTTTGTGAAGTATTATAATACTTTGCATGTCTTTTATTAAATATATTTTGGAAGAGTGTTTGGGTGCATCAATACATTCATGCTTTTTAAAGGCCTGTGTCTGTATGCAATATTTTTGTGATTATCCTGGTTCATTCTTGTTGCAAGAGTTATCTTTCTTTTTCAAATAAGAAAACCTGGATGATGACACATTTTTGGAATATATGCTTTTTGAGTGGGTGTCTGTCATTTTTTGTGATCTGATATCATTTATTTTATGAATAAACTGTTATATACAATACAAACTTTTGCTTTCATTTTTCAAGTTCTTTTCCTCTGTAGAATAGATTAGAAATAGTCCTCAAAAATAATTATATTACTATATAAGATTGACCTGCATACATATGCACTTAATTCATCCGAAAGCAGGGGACCATCATTCTTTGAATTTCCTTGTTGCTCATTGTTTGGCTACTGTATATATCTTCATGAATGTTTGTACTAAATTTA